TGATTGTTCACGCTTACGGTGGCTTTCAGACAGCATACATCAATTTTTCGTCTCCCCCCTCCTCTTTTTAGAACATAGATGGACTCGTCCTTCTAAACAAACTGTCAAATCGCTCTCCGTGGTGCTAACGTTTAAAAATAAATAAATACGAACCGCCACTTCTCTCAAATGTTTCTTGCCGTTGGTTTTTTTCACACCTGATGACGACCGCTTGTGTTACAGTCGAAACGTCGTGAGAATTTTATTGTTTTATAAATATATTTTATTATTTTATTGTTTTCCCTTCAACGTGACTTTACCGAAAGAACCAAGAATATGAATCACTGCAGTCACGAAAGCTTTAAATCAAAAGACCACGCCCTCTTCACGGCTCCTCCCCCTAGCTCGGACCCGCCCCTTTGTTCCCGAAGGCGCCTCTCACACCCCTCCGTGACGTGTCGTCATCTTTGACTAACAACCCGCTGCGCACGTCCCTCTGTTCGCCCCCTTGTGGTTGCTCAAAATACTCCTCGACACCACGATACGCGACACTACGGCATACCTGTCGACCCCTTGTCAGTGCCTGCCTTAGTGGTCACCCCGTGCCCTTATAAATATCAACGTTCATCCTACAAAGTCGCATCACAAGGAGAGAAACACGGACAAATAGACAAAACCATTTTTTTGTGCCCGTATTGGAACGGCTGTACGTCGTATGAATCTGAAAACTCAATTTCCCTGTACAGGAATACGGGGTAAACCGTATAGGTTGACACTACTATACACTACACTATACACTACTATACAATACTATACACTACACGAGACACTACAACAACAACCGCCATTCGCCACGAAGTGGCAGTGACGTCACCACAATGCTTGTGCCAGGCTATGTGCACCCTGAGGCCATGTTAAGTGTCGAACGCCCGCTGGCAGGACGTCACGGGGCAGACCCAGATGCCACAGGTCGACTGACTGAGATGACTGAGATGACTGGCTGATGCACCACCTATGCCCCCTACTGTGCCAACGTGATGTGCTTTAGCCAACCGGCGCTCCACTCGTTTTTGTGAGCGTCGCTCCTCCGCCCTCCGTTGTTGTTGGAGGGCGACTGCCTCCAACTGCCCAGTAGCATCCTTCACGAGCCTCCTCCACAGAGGCCGATCTTGACACCGCTGGTACCAGTCATCGGCAAGTCCACTCAGCTCCACGTCCTCCTGTACCACGTCACTCCATCTCTTCTCTAGCCCGTGCCGCGCCCGCTTAGCCCCCTCGATCCGGCCGAACAAAAGCTGTTTCGGCATGCGGTGGCTGGGCATGCGGGCTACATGGCCCAGCCAACGCAGCCTTGCCTGCTGGAGGAGCTCACCGATCGGACTTTGTCCAGATCTTTCAAGGATTTGTGAGCTCCTCACACAATCCAGCCTGCTGGCTAAACCCAGGATGCATCGTAGACAGGCCAGCATAAATGTTTCTAACCAGCGAAGATGTTCCATTCGGAGAGTCCACGTTTCGCAAGCATAGAGAAGGGAGGGAATGGCTGTGGCAAAGAAGACCTGAAGCTTCGTGTGGAGCGACAGACCAGGTAGCTTCCACACAGCTTTACGCAACCGATGAAAAGATAATACCGCTCGACTGATTCGGCGTGAGACCTCTGCTGTTAAACTGGAGCCGGTCATAAGCACACTGCCCAGGTATGGGAAACTCTCCACTCTCTCCACAACTGCCCCATCATCAATTGGGAGTTGTGGGGGTGGAGTGTCCGATGGTACAAAATACCCAGGCAGGTGCTTAGTTTTGGTGGGGCTGATGATAAGGCTCCACCTCTTAGTGGCAAGCTCCAGGTTCAGCAGCAGCGCCTCGAACTCCTACTCTGAGTGAGCAGCAATAACCAGATCATCGGCATACATGACAAGGTTGAGCAATAGGGAGCCATCCCTTGACCGCACCCGGGCATCGATCAGTCTCACATTGTATCTGTACCAGATGGAAATTCCTCTGGTACAGTATGTGCGGTCCCCCTTCTTAAAGAGGGGGACCACCAGGGCATCCTTCTAATCCAGCGAAACCCATCCAGTGGTCCAGACTGCTGTTATGATGTCATATAGGGCAGTCTGTGCACAAACGCCACCCTCCCTCAGCATTTCGCTTGGGAGATCATCTCTGCCCGGTGCCTTTCCTGGTCTCAGACTCTGGATCGCCTTCAGTACTTCCTCGACAGATGGCACCTCAGCCAGCCACTCACAGGGGGTGACTTCTTCCAATATTTGAGGCACTGCAGCCTCAGCAGGGTCATCCCTGCCCAGGACCTCACATAAATGCTCAGCACATCTGCAAACCTGTTTCTGGGGGTCAGATATTGGATCACCGTTCTTTCCCCTAATGATGGTAATAGGTGTGGCGCTGCAGGTTACTTTTTTTATGGAGTTAAATAGGGATTTGTGATCGCGGGCCATTGAGGCAGATTCCATCTCCTCAGCAACCCGCGACCACCACCCATCCTTGCAGCACCTCACGGCTCTCCAGACCTCCGAGCGAAGGCTGCGGTAAGCCTCCTCATTCTCTGACGTGGGATTCTGTAGCCGATGACAGTGGGCCTGTCGCTTTTTCTCAACCATCCTGAACACCTCCTCTGTCAGCCATGGTCTCTGGGGAGGTCTGGACCGCGTACCCAAAGCAGCCATTGCAGCTGCATGAGTCACAGTCCTAAACCTCGCCTATTTACCCTCGACATCAGGAGGAGTGGGGGACAATGCCAACCCCAGCCGCAAGCGATGATGAAATTCTCACTTGCAACTTTCATCAGATAACTGAGACCAGGCCACTTTAGGTTGGAATGGGGTCCTGGGTGTACACCCACCACCGGAGTGGAAGCATGGCAGGCGCGTCCTCCAGATGACAAGTCGATTGCGAATCGATATGCGATGACTGCACTTAACAAAGTACGATCATCACGATTGTTTAACTTATTGCGCAAAAGTAACTGTCACATTTTTATTAACGCCACCACAGCGCCTGTGCCAGGCCAGGTGCACTTTGAGGCTATCACGTGACGCGTCGAAGGCTCGCTCGCTGGCACGAGGTCACGGGACAGACCCAGGTGCTATGGGTTGACTGCTGTGCCAGGCTAGGTGCAGGAGGTCACGGGACAGACCCAGGTACTATGGGTTGACTGCTGTGCCAGGCAAGGTGCAGGAGGTCACGGGACAGACCCAGGTGCTATGGGTTGACTGCTGTGCCAGGCTAGGTGCAGGAGGTCACGGGACAGACCCAGGTACTATGGGTTGACTGCTGTGCCAGGCTAGGTGCAGGAGGTCACGGGACAGACCCAGGTGCTATGGGTTGACTGCTGTGCCAGGCTAGGTGCAGGTCACGGGACAGACCCAGGTGCTATGGGTTGACTGCTGTGCCAGGCTAGGTGCAGGTGGTCACGGGACAGATCCAGGTGCTATGGGTTGACTGCTGTGCCAGGCTAGGTGCAGGAGGTCACGGGACAGACCCAGGTGCTATGGGTTGACTGCTGTGCCAGGCTAGGTGCAGGAAGTCACGGGACAGACCCAGGTGCTATGGGTTGACTGCTGCGCCAGGCCTGGTGCAGGAGGTCACGGGACAGACCCAAGTGCTATGGGTTGACTGCTGTGCCAGGCTAGGTGCAGGAGGTCACGGGACAGACCCAGGTGCTATGGGTTGACTGCTGTGCCAGGCTAGGTGCAGGAGGTCACGGGACAAACCCAGGTGCTATGGGTTGACTGCTGTGCCAGGCTAGGTGCAGGAGAATGAGGTCACGGGACAGACCCAGGTGCTATGGGTTGACTGCTGTGCCAGGCTAGGTGCAGGAGGTCACGGGACAGACCCTGCAGGTATCATGGGTTGACTGCTGTGCCAGGCTAGGTGCAGAAGGTCACGGGACAGACTCAGGTGCTATGGGTTGACTGCTGTGCCAGGCTAGGTGCAGGAGGTCACGGGACAGACCCAGGTGCTATGGGTTGACTGCTGTGCCAGGCTAGGTGCAGGAGAAGGAGGTCACGGGACAGACCCAGGTGCTATGGGTTGACTGCTGTGCCAGGCTAGGTGCAGGAGGTCACGGGACAGACCCTGCAGGTACCATGGGTTGACTGCTGTGCCAGGCTAGGTGCAGGAGGTCACGGGGCAGACCCAGGTGCTATGGGTTGACTGCTGTGCCAGGCTAGGTGCAGGAGGTCACGCGACAGACCCTGCAGGTACCATAGGTTGACTGCTGTGCCAGGCTAGGTGCAGGAGGTCACGGGACAGACCCAGCAGGTGCTATGGGTTGACTGCTGTGCCAGACTAGGTGCAGGAGGTCACGGGACAGACCCAGCAGGTGCTATGGGTTGACTGCTGTGCCAGGCTAGGTGCAGGAGGTCACGGGACAGACCCAGCAGGTGCTATGGGTTGACTGCTGTGCCAGGCTAGGTGCAGGAGGTCACGGGACAGACCCAGCAGGTGCTATGGGTTGACTGCTGTGCCAGGCTAGGTGCAGGAGGTCACGGGACAGACCCTGCAGGTACCATGGGTTGACTGCTGTGCCAGGCTACGTGCAGGAGGTCACGGGACAGACCCTGCAGGTACCATGGGTTGACCGATTGACTGAGATGACTGGCAGATGCAGCAGCTGTGCCCCCCACTGCGCCAACTCGCTGTGTTTTGACTGAGGCGACCAACGAGACGGTCAATCGATTATCGATTCTGCAATCGACAACGCCATCGAATCGAATTGTGTCACTTTCCACTTAGCTATGGGAACCCGATTCCCCTAGCAACGCAGAAGGAACTGGGTTTCCATAGCAACGCTATAGGAACTTGGTTTGCATAGCAACGCAATTGGAACCGGGTTAACGTAGCAACGCAACAGGAACCGGGTTTACAATGCAACGCAATAGGAACCGGAATGAACGTAGCAACGCAATAGGAACCGGGTTTCCATAGCAACGCAATAGGAACCGGGGTCCTGTAGAAACGCAATAGCTACCGATATTAACGTGGCAACGCAATAGGAACCGGGTTGCCCGTAGCAATGGGGATTCGGTTCCCCGCGATGTCGCAACGAGGATCCGGATCCCGTTGTGACACCCTGGACCCGGTTCCATCTGCACGCTGCCAGGCCACTCGTCAAGCGCTCTCCGCTCGCTCGCTCGCAAGGTGAGGCCCCAACTCTCTCCTCTCTCTCCACTCTCTCCCTTTTATTGTTCCATCGCGATCGTGGGGACGATGCAGGAGGAGCTTCACTTGCCCTTGAAGTACTCCTCCAGCACGTCCTTGGCTTGCGCCTCCTTGCCGTAGTCCTTCAACGAATTCGGCCACCTTGAGTTGGTTTCCCCACTCGCGGTCGATCGTGCAGAGCCCCGACCACTCGCCAAGCTGCTTGTTGTCGTCCACCTCGGTGAGGGTGACCCGGTGCTCGTTGCACAGGGCCAGCTTCACGTCGTGCGTGGCCTCATCGCAGTTGCTGGCGAGGACGCGCAGATGGGCGTGACGCGTGTCGAGGGCCCTTGGCCGCCACGGCGCTCGTGCCAGGCTAGGTGCACTCCTGAGGCCGTCACGTGAGAGCGTCGTCTCTGAAGGCTCGCTGCCCCGCAGGAGGTCACGGGATAGACCCATCAGGTGCCGTGGGTGATTGCTGCTGTGCCAGGCTAGGTGCAGGAGAAGGAGGTCACGGGACAGACCCAGGTGTTATGGGTTGACTGCTGTGCCAGGCTAGGTGCAGGAGAAGGGGGTCACGGGACAGACCCAGGTGTTATGGGTTGACTGCTGTGCCAGGCTAGGTGCAGGAGGAGGTCACGAGACAGACCCAGGTGTTATGGGTTGACTGCTGTGCCAGACTAGGTGCAGGAGGAGGTCACGGGACAGACCCAGGTGTTATGGGTTGACTGCTGTGCCAGGCTAGGTGCAGGAGGTCACGGGACAGACCCAGGTGTTATGGGTTGACTGCTGTGCCAGACTAGGTGCAGGAGGAGGCCTCGGGACAGGCCCAGGTGTTATGGGTTGACTGCTGTGCCAGGCTAGGTGCAGGAGGAGGTCACGGGACAGACCCAGGTGTTATGGGTTGACTGCTGTGCCGTGACGTCCTGCACCTAGCCTGGCACAGCGTCAACCGAGTCTGTCCCGTGACCTATCAGCAGCGAGCCTTCCACGCTTGACGTGACCGTGTCAGGGTGCACCTAGCCTGGCACAATTGCCGTGGTGACGTCACCGCCACTGACGTTAGCCGTGGCCGGGACCCGTACCCAGTGCGTAAACCACCGCTCCACTATTCACAGGGGCTCCGTGGTGGCTATGAGATGTTAACTCCCTCGCTGGGTGTACAGGAGGTCGTGGGTTCGATTCCAACTCTGGCGCCTGCTGTATATTTGCGATGTCTCTCATCATCATCATCATCACGGTGGCTAGATGTTAACTACCTCGCCTGGTACACAGGAGGTCGTGGGTTCGATCACGACCCTGACGATGCCTGCTGCTGTATATTTGGAGTTTGCGGTGTCTCTCATCATCATCATGACGGTGGCTAGGAGATGTTAACTACCTCGCTTGGTATACAGGAGGTCGTGGGTTCGATCCAGATCCTGACGCCTGCTGCTGTATATTTGGAGTTTTCATCTCTCTCATCGTCATCACGGTGGCTAAGAGATGTTGACTACCTCGCCTGGTACACAGGAGGTCGTGGGTTCGATCACTACCCTGACAATGCCTGCTGCTGTATATTTGGAGTTTGCGGTGTCTCTCATCATCATCATGACGGTGGCTAGGAGATGTTAACTACCTCACCTGGTCTACAGGAGGTCGTGGGTTCGATCCAGATCCTGACGCCTGCTGCTGTATATTTGGAGTTTGCGTCTCTCTCATCATCATCATCACGGTGGCTAAGAGATGTTGACTACCTCGCCTGGTACACAGGAGGTCGTGGGTTCGATCACGACCCTAACAATGCCTGCTGCTGCTGTATATTTGGAGTTTGCGGTGTCTCTCTCCCCGCGGGCAAGCGGACTTTTCTCTGGCTCCTCCGGGTTTTCCCCTCACGCGCTTCGAGTGTTTGGCTGCCGCTAGACATTTCCGCACGATGATGATAAGTCCACTTCGTCGGGCTATCATTTGTGATGAGCAGGTCGCTTCTCACATAGAGCTACGTGGCTCGGTTGGCCTTACCCTGGTAGAATACAACATATATTTTTTTAGCTCTGTAGTAAAAACGTCCCTGGCAACGGTAACAATCCCACGTCATGTAGTTCGGGGCTCTTGTGAGCCCCTCCCTCCTCCCCACGTGTGTTTGGCCTATTCGTCTTGGACGAGGTGGATGTACCCACTATCTACCCCACCACAAGCACGCTAAGGGGCCATACATTTCGTACTTACGCATGGAGGGGGGGAGGTTAACCCAAATGCGTACGCTTGCGTATGGGGGGTCTACTGACAGTGTCCGCATAGGAAACGGGGGGGGGGGAGGGGGTTGTGAGGCCTCGATAATAATTTGTCTACATTGGCCTTCAAATGAGCCACAGTTCAGTGTCTCCAGCTGTCAGACAACAAGTACTAGCGTGAGAAGTGGGACTGTGAGAGAGGTGTCACTCGTGTGCCACCGTGCCCCTGACTGCAGCTATCACGCAGCTCAGCAAAATCAGTGGCCAAGGTACACCAACGTAATTCATTAATGCAGCCAGCGGTGGACTGTTTGCTTAAAGGCGTTAATATTATTAAAGCTTGATCGTTTCTGCGTGGATTGAATATCGGCCGTTCTATAGGATTCGAGGGGGGGATGGGTCAAGTTGACAGATTTTTGCGTACCAACTACATGGATGGCCCCTCATCGGAGGTGAGGGTGTGAGTGGGTGGATGGGTGAGTGTGTATGTTGAACTTCCTTCGCACCGTACGTAGCCAACCGTGCTAATCGGAGGGTGCATCACTGATCGACACACGAAGCACGGGAGCGGAGCATTTGGCACCCGCTGGCAGGCATAGCAATCGTCACTTGATCCCATGTCTCGCAAGTTTCCAAGGGGAGATAATAATAATTTAATGCATTTGGCATTTACACAATTCTCATAGCACAAGGCTGGCATGATGGAAGGTGCTGCTGTTGCTGTGTGTTTGATAGACAGCCTGGTCTCATGGTAGGGGGGCTGCTGCTGTGCGTAATCCAAATCGCTCAATTTGCAGGTCATTTTTTTACTTTGCTATAATTTGGGACCGCGACGCCGAGGACACACCAGCCCAATCGTTTCGAATTCATACGTGGGATTGTTAACGTCCGTGGAAATACAAAGATCCCCCGTGTAGCCTCAACAGACTGTTGGGGCAAGTGCTGTTAGCAAGTGGCACCTACGAAGGCTGGAATAAGGGGGTGGGTGGCCAGCACCATGCCCGTCCGCCTCTGTCTCCCCAGCGGCGATGTTTACAACACCGCACCTAGGGGAGGTCCAGGACCGGTTCGGATAATAGCCGTGAGCAGGAGTCGAACCCTGGTCGCCGGGGTGCATAGCACAGCGCAGCTCTCCACCCGATTATACTGCTCACCTTAACGAAAGAAGAAGCACGTTACGGTTAACGCACCGCAGCGATAACCAGGGCGGCCCACTGGATTCGAGCCACGAACCTCAAGTGGCGTAACCCAGGTCGCCGTCGCGCAGGAGGCAACGCCGCCACCTCTCTCCGTGTCCCCGACCGCCTTTGTTTCACCCCGTCGTGGTTAAGAAACTTGACCGCCGACCGCCCCGCCCGCGTGCAGGATGCCCGTGGACTGGATCGGTTACGGCTACGCCGCCCTCGTAGCGTCAGGAGGCGTGATCGGCTACGTCAAAGCAGGTACGCCGCGGCGCTGTCTCGGCCACCGCGTGGCCTCGTCCGCGGGGGGGCGCTCGGGCCACTGGGAGCGGGACGGCCGTCGCACGTCGTGCACCGTTCTCGTTCCCGAAAGGTCTCGAGCCGCCCGTGAAGGGGAGCAGCTCGACTCATAGCCGTCACAACCCACGCGGTTTACCCCGTAATTCTTGTACAGCGAAGTGTATAGTATGTGTATAGTATCGTCGTATATAGTAGTGTATAGTTGTATAGTAGTGTCGTGAATAGTGTAGTGCATAGTAGTGTATAGTGTAGTGTATAGTAGTGTCAAACCATACGGTTTACTCCATATTCTTGTACAGGGAAATTGAGTTTTCGGGTCCATACGGCGTAGAGCCGTTTCAGTACGAGCAACATAGAAAATGTTGTCCATTTGTTTGTGTTTCTCTCCTTGAGATGGGACTTTGTAGGATGAGCGTTGAGATTTATAAGGGGCACGGGGTGACTAATACGGTTTGAATTGGTCTGTAATAAGGTAGGCACTGATAAGGGGTTGACAGGTACGCAGTAGTGTATTGTAGTATAGTGTATAGTAGTGTAAAGTAGTGCAGTGTATAGTGGTGTAGTGTATAGTAGTGTAGTGTACAGTTTTAGTGAATAGTATAGTGTATATTAGTGTAGTGTACAGTATTTTAGTGAATAGTATAGTGTATAGTAGTGGTGTATATAATTACTCGCACTGACGGTGTAACAGGTCACCTGCTTACACTTTATTAATCCTACTCTCGCACCAGTTGTAGGCACACCGATGACTGCCTCTCACTGTCATCACACACGCCGCTTCCCCCTCCTGCCTGCTCTCATCTACCCCGCACCGCTCCTACCCTCTCCCATCCCGCCGCTGCCCCCTGCTCTTCCCCCACGCTGCCCCGTACCCACTCACCCGTCTGTCCCGGGCAGGGGGTTCAGCCAACACCCGCCCAGCGACGGCGTGAGGGGCGAGGTCCCGTTGACGGCCCAAGTGGCAGAGGCGAGACGTCTTCTCTCTTGGTTCCCGGTCAACCCTCCGCTACCCATGGACACTCCTCTTCATATACCCCTCCCGAGTCCTCACGTGCCCCCACATAAGCTATCGTCTCCACGGCGCCTGTCGCACTCGCTAATCCCTAATCATCGCCCCCATCTCCCGTCTCGTGCCCCAACGCGCGCACGCCTGCTCGTCCCCAATTGCACGCTCTCGACTGCGCAAACTGCGTCCATCCCTACTCTACAGTAGTGTAGTGTTTATGAAGACGAATAAACTTCTCATGAGGCACACTCTGTTTATTGTAATGCTTCTCTTTACACGGTCCTTAACACACAGAGGGGTATGCGGTCCCCTCACCCGATACCCTAAGGAGGTACAGCCTCCGGACTTAGCGTGACCTACACACAGGTCTCTTCCTAACCTAAGGAGGTACAGCCTCCTATCTTGGCGGGACTTACTCACACGTCTACCGCTATCCTAGAGTCCTCTCGGCTGGGGCCTAGGGGAGGCTATCTGACCCACCGCTGGCCCGGCGGGTCTTGACCACTGGATACGCCGAGCCTTAGCCCTCAGAAGGGCTGGAAGGCCGGGTCCAGGGTCCTGGCTATCTTCAGCCCGGGCTTCGGTCTTCGTGTAGGGAGAGAACTCCCCGCGCTCCGCGTGCTCACCCTTCTTATACCCGTTTGTGGCCAGGTGTAACCAATCACACATTCCCACGTGGAACTGTCTGATTGGTTCTTACCAAACTGTGGCTACGATCCATTTCACCTCGTCTGACCCCAACCGTTATGCACACAGAGGTAACGCTGCACTGCCCCTTTGATACCTAGTGGCAATGCAGGTTACCCAACAGTGAGTAGTTAACACCTCTACAGTAGTATAGGGTAGTGTATAGTAGTGTATAGGGTAGTGTATAATAGTGTATAGTAGTGTCAACCCATACAGTTTACTCCGCATTCTTGTACAGGATATTACGTTTTCAGGTCCATACTGCGTTAAAGCCGTTTCAATACGGGCAAAATAAAAAAAGTGCATGTTTGTGTTTCTCGCCTTGTGATGGGACTTCGTATGATGAACGTTGAGATTTCTAAGGGCACGGGGTGACCAATAAGGTCTGAATTGGTTTGTAATAATGTAGGACACTGATAAGGGGTTGACTGGTATGCTGATTGGCCACGTATAATTTATCGGAGTAATCGTGACAAACTCGTGGGGCGGCGGGAGGCTGCTGGCCACCCACCCCCTTCGTGTGTCGTGCTGCTCTTCATCGGTGCTCGCTAACAGCGCTTGCTCCCATATGTATGTTGAACTTTGTAGTCTGCATGTCCCCCTCTCTCCCCGTGGTCACGTAGATTTTTTCTCCAGGTCCTCCGGGTTTTCCCTCCACATTTATAAATATGTATTTTGATTTTTCTACTATAAATGTCCACAATAAGCCACTCTGTTGAGCTACCATTTGTAATAATTTAATATCTCAGTGGGCTTTGCCTGGTAGGATAGGGATGGTTTAGTGGTGTATTTGTTTGTGTTTGGGTGCTTTGTTTACCTTGCATGTACTTTGCACTACTATCACGTGTTGTTGTTCTGTTTATTGTAACGTTCTTAGCCGTTCCTCTACTGGACATCTGTGAAATAAGAGCTTCATAGCTCATCGGATTCCTCTAGTAATAAATAAACATTCTGATTTTGATAATTGGTGCTACTCGCTTACGGCACTTGCCCTAACGGTTTGTTGAAGGCGATGCTGGGGAGGGTGGTGTGGGATCTTTGCCTTTTGCCTTTGCAGGCAGCGTCCCCTCTCTGGCGGCCGGCCTGCTCTTCGGGGGCCTGGCCGGGTTCGGGGCCTACCAGACTTCCAACGACCCCAAGAACGTGTGGGCCGCACTCGGTGAGTAGCGCTGGTGCCGGCGGCGCCGGTGGTAACACCCCCGGGGCCTCGCGTCAACGATGGCCTGGGTTCGAACACCCATTGAGTTTGTGTGCTCTCCGCGCTTGTTCCACGTGGAGGAGGTCTCCCGCACAAAGCCTTTTGGGGTTTTTGCTGGAGCGGAGACGGTGACGTGTGGTGGGGGAGCAGGCAAGTGCCGTCGCGAGCTGGAATAACGTTCTGAGCGAGTTGAGCGGCGGAAAGTTTTCCAACGGCCATGGTTGGGGTCCTGTATACCTCGTCCGGTGTAGGAGGTTGCGGGTTCGATCCCGACCCTGATGCTTGCTGTATATTTGGAGTTTGCGTGTCTCTCATCATCATCATCACGGTGGTGCGATGTTAACCACCTCACCGGGTATACAGGAGGTCGTGGGTTCGATCCCGTCCCCGACGCCTGCTGTATATTTGGAGTTTGTGTGTCTCTCGCTCTCATTATCATCACGGTGGCTAGGATATGTTAATTACCACGCGTGGTATACAGGAGGTCATGGGTTTGATCCCGACCGTGACGATGCTTGCTGGATATTTGGAGTTTGCATGTCTCTCTCCCCGTGGTCGCGTGGATTTTGCTCCAGGTCCTCCGGTTTTTCCCTCCACATTGAGAATCAACATCACGCATTTACTTTGGCTATTGCTCGACATTCCCACGGATAAGCCACTTGGCTGAGCTATCATTTGAGTTTGGCAAGTAACTTTTATCCGTCCCAACGGCAATTAGTCCAATAAAATTACTTACTTTTGAAGACGGGAACAGTTGACTTATTAATTGTTGTAGATGCCTAAACACATGTTTAGAAACGTGCGGTTAGAGTACTTGGCTGCTATAAATTTCCACGTGATGAGAAGCCACCGCTTCGTTGAGCTATCGTTGGTGAAAGTCAGAGTGCCGGTTGTCCCGAGTGTGTGCCGAGTATCTTGAGTGTGTGCCGAGTGTCCCAAGTGTGTGCCAAGTGTCCCAAGTGTGTGCCAAGTGTCCCGAGCGTGTCCAAGTGTGCCGAGTGTGTCCCGAGTGTGTGCCGGGCGTCCCGAGTGTGTGCCGAGTGTGTGCCGAGTGTGTGCCGAGTGTGTCAAAGTGTCCCGAGTGTGTCCCGAGTGTGTTCCGAGTGTGTGTTCCGAGTGTGTGTCACGAGTGTGTCACGAGTGTGTCACGAGTGTGTGCCGAGTGTGTGACACGAGTGTGTGACACGAGTGTGTGACACGAGTGTGTCACAAGTGTGTGCCGAGTGTGTCACGAGTGTGTGACACGAGTGTGTCACGAGTGTGTGACACGAGTGTGTCACGAGTGTGTGCCGAGTGTGTGCCGAGTGTGTGCCGAGTGTGTGCCGAGTGTGTCAAAGTGTCCCGAGTGTGTCCCGAGTGTGTTCCGAGTGTGTGTTCCGAGTGTGTGTCACGAGTGTGTCACGAGTGTGTGCCGAGTGTGTGACACGAGTGTGTGACACGAGTGTGTGACACGAGTGTGTGACACGAGTGTGTCACAAGTGTGTGCCGAGTGTGTCACGAGTGTGTGACACGAGTGTGTGACACGAGTGTGTCACGAGTGTGTGCCGAGTGTGTGCCGAGTGTGTGCCGAGTGTGTGCCGAGTGTGTGCCGAGTGTGTCAAAGTGTCCCGAGTGTGTCCCGAGTGTGTTCCGAGTGTGTGTCACGAGTGTGTGACACGAGTGTGTGACACGAGTGTGTGACACGAGTGTGTGCCGTGTGTCCCGAGTGTGTGACACGAGTGTGTCACGAGTGTGACACGAGTGTGTGACACGAGTGTGTGACACGAGTGTGTCCCTCATGCTGCCCCTGTGCTGCCCCTCATGCTGCCCCTGTGCTGCCCCTGTGCTGCCCCTCATGCTGCCCCTGTGCTGCCCCTGTACTGCCCCTGTGTTTCTCAGCGGCCTCGGGGTTGCTGACGGGGGTGATGGGAATGAGATTCTACAACTCGGGGAAGCTCTTCCCGGCAGGGATCATCGCCGGCGCGAGGTGAGATCCCTCACCTCCAAAGACAAAGATCCCCCAGGTAGCCTCAACAGACTGTAGGGGCAAGTGCTGCTTGCGAGTAGCAGCACCTACCAAGGCCGGCACGGCACACGAAGGGGTGGGTGGCCAGCACCACGCCCGGCCGTCTTTGTCTCCTCAGTGGCGATGTTTACACGCCCCACCAGGTACTCATTTGAGGCTAAATCGACCTAGGAGAGCCCCAGGTCCGGTTCAGATAATTAATCGTCACTGGTGTATGCCTTAAGCGGGAATTGAATCCGGTTTGCTGGGTTTGTAGCGCAGCGTGCTAACCGCTGCACCACTGCTCCCCCCCCAACACACACGTGTGGTGCGTGTAATGTCACACGTGCCGTGTTGGTGTGTGTGCCGTCTCGTGAGGAGCGGTGGTGCAGCGGTTAGCGCACTGCGTGACGAACCTGGCGACCCAAGTTAAATTCCGACCAACACCAGCGACGAATATCTGAACCGGTTCTGGGCCTCCCTTAAGTCGACTCAGCCTCGAATGTTCACCTGGTGCGGTGTGTAAAACATCACCACTGGGGAGACAAAGGCGGTCGGGCGTGGCGCTGGCCACCCACCTCCTTGTGCGCCGTGCCGGCCTTCATAGGTGCTGCTCGCGAACAGCGCTCACCTCCACAGTCTGTTCAGGCTATACGGGGGGATCTTTGTGTCGTGCCGTGTCCTGCCATGCGCTGTGGTTTGTTAGGCGACGCGTTGCCGCACATCTCGTGCGGTGTTTGGGGCGTCGTGGGGTCTTGCGTAACGTCGCTGCGTGCCGTGCCGTGGCGCCCGACCTTGTCCCTCATGTTGCGGGCCCGGGACCGGTTCAGATTTTATCGTCATTGGCGGTGGCCATGAGCGCAAATCATACCCGGGTCGCCGGGTTTGCAGCGTAGCACAGCGCTATAACCGCTGTGCCACAGCTCCCCATATACTGCCTGCACACAAAGATCCCCCATGTAGCTTGTTGGGAGCAAGCGCTGTTAAGAGTGCGCCTGTGAAGGCCTGCACGGCACACGAGGCGGTGGGTGGCCAGCGCCACGCCCGGCCGCCTGCGTCTCCCCAGTAACGATGTTTACACAGCTACTCATTTGAGGCCGAGTCTGAGTCCACCTCACACACTCACGTACACACGCACACACGCACGTGCACACATACACACGCACGTACACACGCACACACGCACGCACGCACGTACACACACACGCACACATGCACACATGCACACATGCACGTACACACACACGCACGTACATACGTGCGTGAAATATTGTAGGCAGCGGTTGGCGCGCTGCACTACGAACCCAGCGACTCCCGTTTCGATTCCCGCTCACGGCCAACATCGGTGATGATTATCCTGGGCCCTCCCGTAGGTTGAATTAGCCTTAAATGAATGGCTGGTGCGGGGCGTGTGTGCTGGCCACATTACCCCCCCTCGTGCGCCCTGCGTCGACCTTCACAAGTGCTCGCTAACAGCACTTGCCCCGACGGTCTGTTGGGGCTATCCGGGGGGGATCTTTTGTTTGTGTAAGTTGGCGATGGGGCAATGCTCACCGTCGGTTGGTTGGCTGCCGACTTGCTCCGATGCCTGCGGCATGGTGGTCATGGGGGGGGGGGGCAGGGGTCGTGGTGGGGTGGGCGCGGCACCCTCTGTGCGTGTGTCGCGTCACACGCTGTCGTGTTGTTGCTGCTGCTGCGGTGTTCTCATTGTTGTTGTCGTGGTGGTGTTTGTTGCCGTTGTGCTCCGTGAAGCTTGATGATGGTTGGCCGGCTTGGAATGAAGATGCTCGCCAAGCCTCACGAGCCGTGACGCGGAGAGAGAGAGGGGGGGGCGGCGAGGTTACGGAGAGGACGAGGAGACGGGGAGAGGGCCCCCGGCAGCAAACCCCCCTCTGTAAAATCCACTCGGACTTTGGGGCGATGACCTTGCGATTTGACGGTGGTTGCCGCTTCTGGGACAATTCTCCGTGACCTGCTTCTTAAAACGCCGCAGCTCCGGCTGCCTTAAGACCGAGCGATTTATTAAACGCCTCACGTGACACCGTCTCGCTCGCTCGGCAATTGCGACCCCGCAAATCGTGACCCGCTCACTCGCTCGCTACGACAATTGTCGCCATTTATCAAAACCAAAGGAACCGTCGCCCCTCCACCACGCCGCTCGTTACGTTGCCGCTGGGTGCCCGCGTGCCACCGTGTGTGTGTGCCAGATCTCATCCGTGTACCGCACGCAGATTTACAAATAAAACAAAAAAATCACACGTTTCTCTTCCCGCGCGTTCCCATTGTCCGCTGGCCGTTGTTTTGTACGCGTGTACGCTGAACTTCTTTGGCTTTCGTGTGCGTAGCCATCCGTGCTCATCGGAGGTGCGGGGGTGGGGGACAACAAACTAAACACGCAAAAAAAGTTCCCGTAGAAATGAGTTTGTCAAGATAGTTGATTTGAAAGTGCATAGCTCCAGTGGATTCCAAATATCGGAAGGAAGAGCGTTCCAGACGGCCAGAAGAGCGCATCTGAAAGTGCCGCGCGATGATGATGCGGTGACCACCATCTTTTTTCGACGATTATCCAAAAAGCCGCTGCTGCAAGGATGATGACCGGAGTTCACGTGATGATGGTTTATGCTACATGACGAGATCAGCGATGGTATTGCGGTTAATTTGTGGCAAGAACTTTGTGTGTGTAATGAGCGCAGCCTTACAAAGTATTCATTCGGCAACTGGAAGCCAACGCAGCACGGTCGGATCTTGCAGTGCTAGTCAGGACACGTGCCACAGAATTATGTACGCACGCTGCAGCTTGGTAATGTTTTTTCCAGACGTCCCGTAGAGTAGTGGAGTTGCAAAAACCGAGCTGTTGTCGACACGATACACGCCACCGTGTTGGCTTCGTCACGACTCGATTGGTGGCTTTTGCTGGGATTTAAAGGTGTTCACCGTCAAATTGTAATGCCGCACCTTTTACGCTCAGTCGCCAACTGGTGATGCAGTCGAAGTGGCACCGTGCAGCTAAATTTGTCAATCCTCTGCTGGATGAGGGCCTCCCTGTGCTGCGCGGGTCGTGGAGGTTTGTTTGGTCAGTGCCGGTCGGCAAAGGCGGGCAGCGTAGGTGGGAGCAATGAAGTGCAATACAACGATGGGTTTCTATTGCTGGACATCTGTGAAAAAGAAATGTATCGCTCATCAGATGCCTCCAGTATAAATAAATATTCAAATTTTCACTACACCGTTCTCTTTCCCGCACACAATGGAGCCTCCGTGGTCTAACGCACCTAAACTAAACTTTTATTTTACTTTAGGCCCATCACTGAGCTACGTAGATCTTTTTGAGAAGTGACCTGGGCCACCACAAATGATAGCTCAACCAAGTGGCTCATCATCGTCATCATCACGCGGGCAAGAATAGCAGCAGCCCAAATACTCGAAACGCGTGATGTTGATTCTAAAATTGGAGGGAAAAACCGGAGGACACGGAGAAAAATCCACGCAACCACGGGGAGAGAGAGAGGCACCGCTAATTCCAAATATACAGCAGCAGGCGTAGGGGTCGAGATCAAACCGATGATCTGTATAATATGCGAGGTAGTTAACATCTCCTAACTATCGTGGCACCACGAATCTTATCCACCCACAGCGAGCATCCATCCACGAGTTACGCCGCAGTGGCGAGATGTTAACTCCCTCGCCTGGTATGCAGGAGGAGGTCATGGGTTCGACCCTGATGCCTACTGTATATTTGGAGTTTGCAAGTTCTCCCCGTGGTCGCGTGGATTTTTCTCCGGACCCTCCGCTTTTTCACCTCCACATTTATAAACGCCGCTTTTAGAGTATTTGGCTATGAATTTCCACGTGATGATAAGCCACTTCGTTGACCTATCGTTTGTGATAACCAGGAATGTAGCTTCTGAAAAAGAGCTACGTAGCTCAGTGGGCCTTACCTGGTGAAATGAAAATAGTAAAAAAAATATAGTTAATCAGGCTCAACAAACCCTTGGTCATAGGAATCGGTTTTACTCCTTCTGGCAATGAAACAGTTCTGTTAAGATGTTAAAACACCAAACAAAAACATGGTCACCACCAGTACTGTGTGGTTAATGCAGACATGATTCCTTGCAAAAGGCTTCTGTTTGGTGTTTTAACATCTTAATATAACTTTTATTGTGGCAAGAAGGGGCAAAACCGATACTTATATTTTGATACTGACAAGGGAGGTCCCACGATGAACCCCTTGCTTAGCTTCGGTAAACGCGCCGTGATCGGACGCGTTCCCGATTGTGCGGTGCCGTCCGGTTGGACTGTGGCAGAAGAATCGTCGGCCGAGCGAGGCCGTGCGCAGCTTCCTTCCCTGCCCCTCTCATTCTCGGGGTGTTCCGTGGCTTGCGACGGGCTGCGGTGCGCCGTTTCAAAGACGCGCGGACGCGGGTGACCTCGGCGACTTGCGGACGCACGGTGGATATGTACATCAGGTATTGCTTTTATTGGTGGATTTAAATAAAACTGAACAGTCACGTGTAACATTAGTTTTTTTCGTCGTTTGCACAATATCGGTCGCTCGTAAACACAATCGGGTAAAGCGTGATGATTATTATTAATTCATTCATTCAAGCAAAATCAGAGGCAATCAAGAGTGTTTAAAAAAAAGTAACGCTTGGTAAAGTACCGGCAGATCCTGATTCAAAGCAATAACGACGACGACGACAAATTAGACCCAAGCACAACGAGCCGCCCCCTTTTCGTAAGGCTGGAACAGACGACGACCGGACGGTGTCCGAGAAAGGGATGCAGATGTTTGTGATCGCCCAAAGTCGTTTCTGAAACGACGACCTCCGAACCCCGAGCTCGCGACGACCACGAAGAGTCAACCGGTGCCACCGGTCGATGCTGGCCGCCGCGGTGGCTCAGAGATGTTAACTACCTCGCGCGGCATGCAGGAAGTTCGCGGGTTCGATCCCGACCCTGTATATTTGTGTCTCTCTCTCCCCATGGTCGAGTGGATTTTTTTCCGAGTCCTCCGTTTTTTTCCCCTCCACATTTAAAATCAACGTCGCGCGCGTTTCACAGTATTTGGCCATCGCTATAAATTTCCCCGCGACGATGATTAGCCCACTTAAGTTGATCTATCGCTTCTGAAAAAAAAGAGCTGCATAGCTCAGTGGGGCCTCACCTGGTAAAATAAAATGTTTTAATAGTTTTTATTCAATGAAGTCGTTCGATGCAACGGTTATAATGACCACCCTGATGTTTTTGTTTTTACGGTGTGTAACTGCGGGGGGGGGGGGGGGGGGCTCATTCAAAAGGCAGCTGCCTCCAAATCTTTAAAAACCCCCCTCCCCTCCGCCGCCCATCCAGCGGCACGCGCGGCAATCAGAGGCGAGACTTTTGTCCGATCGGTCGAGCAACGGAGCTTATAATCGGGAAGTCACCGATTATCGAGTCACCGATTACCCCCCCCCCACACCCGATGAAAATCGGGTGTGGGGGGGGGGGGTCTGTGTCCCTGCCCCGGACACGGGCGCCTGCACCTGAAACCCTGGGCGTACAAACGGAGGTCCGGCCGGTCGGGGACGCGCCGAGGAGTGCGTGGCACGCTCGCACCTCGCTCCCTCGCTCGCTCTCTCCACTCGGGGAAACTTCGGGACGCTCAGCACCACCGCAACATTATTCGTTGGGTCTTTTTCTCCCCCGAGTGAACGAATTTTGTAGTTTCAGCATCGGCCGACCCTGAGTCCAGTGAAGACACCCCCCCCCCCCCACTCACCCCCCCACCCTAATTCTGGTGAGGCCCTGCCGTTTCCTGTGGCAGAGGAGCCACAAGCCAGCGTGCGAGGAGACTCTGACGACGAGGTGTCTGAGACCGACGGAGAGGACAACGTGAGTGACAGGAGCTACTCACAAGTCAAGGGCGAATATGCGCCTGGGGACATCCACCTTTTCCTAAAGTACACCTTCAGGCAGCGTAAGGTCAAGGTTGAGGCCTTCTTCTCCGACCTGACGGCCTTCCTCATTGCCGTTCAACAAATTTGGTCGCAAATCGCGACAGGTTTGAGTTCAACGAGAAGGAATGCTTCCACTTAAAAGTGTTCATGCGCAAGGTGAGGAGAAAAATTACTTCCGCTCAGAAGTGATTCCCCGCAGCTACTGTCACCATTACAACACAATAACATATATCATGGCTTCAGCTATTAAGGTAGCCAGTCTGAACTGTAACAGTGCTCGCAGCGACAAGAGGTGGGATCAGATCTGCAGCTTTCGTGGTAGACAGAAGGCAGATGTGACTATCCTCCAGGAGACGCAACTTGACACCACTCTGGAGGCCCAATGCCAGCCTTTTCTAGGCGGCCGGGCCTTCTTCAGCCATGCTGAGGACAACCTCGCTTGAGGGGCGATTGTGTTCGGTTCGCAGTTTGTACCAGACGGCGTGGTCTTCAAAGAGATCGTAAAAGGCCACTTGATTTCTGTTGATTTTGTCCTCAATAACTCCAGGCCGAGGTGTTTTAACGTGCAAATGCCAAGCAGGGCCTCCGAGAAGACGCTCTTCTTCGGCATGCTGCTGGACGCACTGGCGGACGATGACAAATTTACATGAGCACTTTCTCTTCGATTTATTTTTCTTCAACTGCACTTTGGACCCGGCTCTCGACTGCAACACCACCGAGACTCACCCGGAATCTGCACGGCCGCTAGCCGACCTGGTACTGAAACTGGATCTGCTCGACGTGTGGTGACTACAGCATCCAGCCCAGTGGCAGTACTCTTGGTGCCGCTACTGCTCTCAAGGCAGGGTAAGCCTTGTCAGGTCCGATCGACTGGATGTAAACGCCAGCGGCGTTAACTTGCTCGAGGACAGTAAAATCGTCCCGTCCGGGTTTTCAGATTACCACTTGGTCACCGTGCTCCTGCGAATTGCCAGCACAGCTACTACCGGAGACTCAACGTGCAGCGGCTTGAAGACAAGGATTTTAAGGAAACCTTTAAGGCCTTTTGGGCTCAATGGCTGTCTGCCAAAAGTAGCTTCAGCTCCCGGCAGTAATGGTGAGACAACACAAAGGCACAGGTCAGCGCTCTGTTGACAGTTCACGAGCCAGCATGCCACCGCTAGGAAGGAGGTCGCACAGCAACTACAGAACGACCTGTTGCTTTAGGCAGAGCTGAGCTCACTCCAGAACATACACGAGGGTGAGATGCCGTTGGAGAAGCAGTGGCTTATCAGGTCCATCACAGACCAGCAGGCGCATCGGTCATTCGTGAGCTAAAGGATGCAGCACTCGTCGCAGATAGACTCTCCCTCTAAATTTTTTCTTTGGCTTACAAAAAAGCTGGTAAACACTAGCAATATTTTAAGTTCACAAACCCCAGATGGACAAAGACCCACATCTGCGAGGCAAATCACTAACATCGCCAGGGATTTATATTCGCAAGTTTTTATCGGTAAACGCATACAAGACGAGGCTGTCCAGGAGCTACTAGATAGGGGCCCGACCTTAGGCGACTTTGAACGGGAGCGTCGCGACAGCCCCATCACCCTGCAAGAGCTCCACGGGCTCGCAGCCGGTAAAGCCCCAGGGATTGACGGCCTACCAGTTTTGTTATATGTGGCCTTTTGGGATAAGCTCGGCCACTGCCCATTGGAGTTGATGACAGAGCCTGCAGAAGGGTGAACTCCCCCTGAGCTGCAGAAAAGCGGTGGTCACCCTACTGCCCAAGGAGGGGGACCTGTGCTTCAATGAAAATCGGTGACCTGTGTCTCTCTTGTGTGCCAATTACAACATGTTCTCCAAAGTGCTGGCCAACCGTCTCAAGATGGTTCTGGGTCAGCTGATCTAGCCAGAGTAGTCATATTGTATCCCTGGTCGGTGCATATATGATAACATCAGAACGGTTGGAGATATAATCTCCCTTGCAGAAATGCACGACGTGGACTCAGGCCTTCTGTTCTTGGATCAGAAGGCCTTCGATCGAGTGAGCCATGAGTACCTGGGTAGGCTGCTAACGTCATTAGGCTTCAGCCAGGCTTTCATCTCGCACGTTAGGCTCCTGTACATGGGCACATCCAGCCTCATGAAAATCAACCAGCGGCTCGGCGCCCCTTTTCCCATGACGAGGGGGGTCGGACAGGGATGCCCTCTTTCAGGGCTGCTGTACACCGTGTCTATTGAGCCACTCCTATGCCACCTGAGACAACGTCTGTCTGGCCTCAAGGTCCCAGGATCTGAGAACGCAGTCGTCGGGCTCTCGGTGGACGCGGACAACATATGCATCGTGGTCAATGATGCACAGGACGTCTCCGCGCTGTGTTTGGCGGTGGTAGTGTACGAGAAGGCCTCCTCTGCCAGGGTCAACTTGGCCAAGCACGAGGCTCTATGTTTGGGGTTGCGTTGCCGCGTGCGTTCTGTGCTCCTCCCAGGAGGAATCAGTTGGCAGGCTGACGGGATCAAGTATCCTGGGGGTCTACCTGGGGAAACCCCACACAACATCGCGTAGAACAATTGGACCGAGCTGGCCGACGTAATCGAGGCTAAAATGCTGGCATGATCGCGCCTCACTCTGCAGATATCCTTTAGGGGCGGAGTGCTCGTCGCTAATAACCTGCCAGCATTTTTGCTGTGCCACAAGACCAAAGCCCTCCCAGCCTCCGGCCGGGTTACTCACCAGAATGATCTGCTTACTCGCGCACTTTGTCTGGCACAGGAAGCACTGGCTGAAGGCCAGGGGTCTTCTGTCTGCCGGTGGGCGAGGGTAGCCAGGTCCTGGTGGACGTCGCCGCTAGGGTGATGAGTTGTAGGCTTATGGCCGTGAGGCAGCTGCTGTACGAAAGGGAGTAACTACCCTGGAAGTCGCCGGCCCTCACCCTGCTGAGAGACGCAGGGGGGTGCCTGGGGTAGGGGAAAGGAGCTCTTCCTGTTAGACTTGGGCCTGGTCGACTACACGTGGCTGCCAGGTTATTACCAGAGCCTTTTGGACACGTGGCGGAGCTTCGAGTGGAGCAGAGTGCGCACGCACTACAACCTCACATTTCCTGAACGAGCCCCTTGTTCTGCAACGGCCTTTTCAAAGTAATCGGAGGAGAGGGGACTCTACGCATCACCTCAGCATGGCGTGCGCGACGATGTGCTGTTTGTGCTGTGCGTGGCGCGTGCAGCGCATGTTCCGCGAGTCGTGTTTTTGTTGTAACGTGCACACTTCAAGCTGTATTTCCATGTGTTTTTGTACTGAAATCAGCTCCCGTGCTATTGCTGCTGGCAACAATAAAAGTGGTTTAAAAGTCAAGTCTCGCTTTCCCTCTCTGTCGCTCTCTTTATCGATCTCTCTCTATCTCTCTCTAGATATGTCTCTCTCTCTATTGCTCTCTCTCGAGATAGAGTCAACAGAGACTATGCGCGTAACAAATTCGACGTCATTAGAGTTCTGATGGGAGGCGTAAAATCCTGGGGGCTAGAAAATTCCGCGAAAAAAAATACTCTGGCCGTGCGCTTCTGCGTACGTGCTTGATGACGGAGCGATGAGGAGTAAAACGATGAACTACCGGCACGTTCGGCTATCTGACGGCGGCGCGAGCGATTGGACGACGACGGCCGGGTGGCGGAGGGGTTGGGGGTCAGCGTCGATTGCGAGCCAACCCCCTCGCGTCCACGCTGTCCCCGCCACCTCCAGTCGCCACGCGTGTGGACGACGTCATGCGGCCCAAGCCGCACGGACGATTCTACGATTCTCCCGCGTGTCTTCAGCGGGGTGGGGGCGGGGACGAGGGCGGGGGAGGGGGGTTCCACGCAATGAACCGAAAATCGGGGCAGCGCCGTTCGGTTACCGAAGAATGCTCCCGGTGCGTGCACCGAAATGTCGGACATCGCTGCGCCGTACACAGCGGAGCGGGGACGACGCGACAGCGCCCTCTGCTAGCTCCACCTGCTCCAGTCAAAATTGAGATGCATCGCATACTCATATACTCTCTTTATACATATATATCTTGTTATATATATCTGTTTCTTATGTATATATAATTCAACCCATTCCTATTTTTCACATTAATTTAATCGACAGGGCGTGGACAGAGCGCCGCCATTAATATATTATATATTCCAACCTTTTGCAATTGGCAACTCGTTAACTAATTGCACTAAATTGCACAAAAAAAAACACGCGAGCACTAGATAGGGGGCAAAGCCAAGGCTTAAAGCAGGCCCAATTATGGAGGCCCAGCCAGAGTTCCGTTCACAACACTGCGCTGCATTGCAGTGCATGGTCTGGAGCATGCGGTACACACCGGGTTGTGATAGCTAATGTATGCGGTACACACCGGGTGTGTGATCTAAAGAGTATTATACTTTGCAAGTGCGTTAGCTAAAGGCAAGTTTGCGCTGGCCAAGCTTGTTAGCTAAAGCGAATGGTATTGGCCAAGTGTGTTAGCTAGAATATGCTATATGCACCAGGTGTATTAGCTATAGTGTAAACTACCGGCCAGATGTGTTAGCTAAAGCATGGTGTACTGGCCAGGTGTTCGCTCAAGTGTAACTACTGGCCAGATGTATTAGCTGAAGTGTAAAACACTGGCCAAGTGTCTTAGCCGACGCATGCTGTAATGGCCAGGTTTGTTAGCTTTAGTGTTATATACTGGCCAAGTGTGTTCACTAAAGCATGCTGTATGCACCAGCAGGGGCGGAGCCAGGATTTCAGACCGGGGTGACATTCAACAAATTTTAATTTCAAGAATGATTAGAGAGTCAGGCTGTTGAACTAGACGCCATCGGTTGGCGACACACTCTGACAATGCAGTTGCACGGAGTCCGCCAGACCAAGTGTCGTACACTTATACGCAGAATGTCACCCCTGTCACCCCCCCCTGGCTCCGCCCCTGTGCACCAGGTGTGTTAACTAAAGTGTAAACTACTGGCCAGGTTTGTTAGCTAATGCACGCTGCTGCTAGTCAGGTCGAATCCAAAAGCCGAGAAGGAAGCGGCACTTTGGCCCCACAGCCCCTAGGATCCTGGCAGCTCAGCCCCAAGTGAACGCATGCAGAAGTTTGATTATTAAAGACGCTCCAAAATGCGAGGCACACACATTTCACGGAGAGGGCCACCGGGCTGCTTCCCGTAAGACCACGGTGGCAGAACCTGTGGCCAATTCCACCGTCCCGAGTCATAAATCAACTCACGAGGGCCTTGCGGGTGCAACTGAGAGATCTCTACACTGGCATCCGGCACTAGTCGAGTCTATAGTGGTACAACTATATCTCTCTACACTGACATCCGGCACTAGTAGAGTCTATAGTGGTACAACTAGCGATCTCTACACTGGCATTAGACTCCAGTAGTCTATAGTGGTACAACTAGCGATGTCTATACTCTTTGGTTCTATTGGGTAAAGTCACGTAGGTGAAAATAAAATAACAAAAAATCACGACGTTTCGGCCACAACACAAGCGGCCTTCATCAGGTGAAGGGACGAGACTGTCTGGAGGACAGCGCTGGAGTGAGAGAAGCCACGCTTAGATCACGACCTTTAAGCTTTTTGAGGAAGGTCAGCGTCTCGATGAGCTGCGACTTCTTGTCCCGTTGTCTGCTCATTGAAACGCTGACCTTCCTCAAAAAGCTTAAAGGTCATGATCTAAGCGTGGCTTCTCTCACTCCAGCGCTGTCCTCCAGACAGTCTCGTCCCTTCACCTGATGAAGGCCGCTTGTGTTGTGGCCGAAACGTCGTGATTTTTTGTTATTTTATTTTCACCTACGTGACTTTACCCAATAAAACCAAAGAGTATGGATCCTAGCAGTCACGAAAGCTTTAAATCTAGTAGCGATGTCTACACTGGCATCAGGCTCCAGTAGTCTACAGTGGTACAACTAGCGATGTCTACACTGGCATTAGACTCTAGTAGAGTCTATAGTGGTACAACTAGCGATGTCTACACTGGCATTAGACTCCAGTAGAGTCTACAGTGGTACAACTAGCGATGTCTACACTGGCATTAGACTCTATTAGAGTCTACAGTGGTACAACTAGCGATGTCTACACTGGCATTAGACTCCAGTAGAGTCTACAGTGGTACAACTAGCGATGTCTACACTGGCATAAGACTCTAGTAGAGTCTATAGTGGTACAACTAGCGATGTCTACACTGGCATCAGACTCTAGTAGTCTATAGTGGTACAACTAGCGATGTCTACACTGGCATCAGGCTCCAGTAGAGTCTATAGTGGTACAACTAGCGATGTCTACACTGGCATTAGACACTAGTAGTCTACAGTGGTACAACTAGCGATCTCTACACTGGCATCAGGCTCCAGTAGTCTACAGTGGTACAACTAGCGATCTCTACACTGGCATCAGACTCCAGTAGAGTCTATAGTGGTACAACTAGCGATCTCTACACTGGCATCAGACTCTAGTAGAGTCCACAGTGGTACAATTAGCGATGTCTACACTGGCATTAGACTCTAGTAGAGTCTACAGTGGTACAACTAGCGATCTCTACACTGGCATCAGACTCTAGTAGAGTCCACAGTGGTACAACTAGCGATCTCTACACTGGCATTAGACTCCAGTAGAGTCTACAGTGGTACAACTAGCGATCTCTACACTGGCATCAGGCTCCAGTAGAGTCTACAGTGGTGCACCTAGCGATGTCTACACTGGCATCAGACTCTAGTAGAGTCTACAGTGGTACAACTAGCGATCTCTACATTGGCATCAGGCTCCAGTAGAGTCTACAGTGGTACAACTAGCGATGTCTACACTGGCATCAGACTCTAGTAGAGTCTATAGTGGTACAACTAGCGATGTCTACACTGGCATCAGACTCCAGTAGAGTCTATAGCGGTGCAAGTAGCGATCTCTACACTGGCATCAGGCTCTAGTAGAGTCTATAGTGGTACAACTAGCGATCTCTACACTGGTATCAGACTCCAGTAGAGTCTATAGCGGTACAACTAGCGATCTCTACACTGGCATTAGGCTCCAGTAGAGTCTATAGCGGTGCAAGTAGCATACTTTCTTTTGGCTTTGGGCTCCAGTAGTCTGTGTACACACACACAGACACGGATTGGTAACGCTGATGTGCGTCTGTGTGCGTGCACGACCCACATGCACCATGCGAGCGGAACCGTTGATCGCTGGGTTCGTGAGATAGTGGGGGGGTCGGTGGGGGGGGGGGAGCAGCGAACACGAGGGGCGGGCGCTGGGGGGGCGAGGCTGGCGGGTAGGAGACTAAACTGGCGAGTAAACTCAGGGGGGCGCCCGCGGGCGCACAATCATCATCGGGAGCGCGACGCGTCAAACGAGCCGCGGCAGGATATGTAAATCGGACCAAGGTCGTGGGGCTCGTGGGGTTGAATGTGGGAGGGGGGGAGTGGGTCAGGGGGTTGGGGGGGGGGGGGTCGGGGGGGGGTTGGCGGGGGGTGCCTCCCATGTGACCGCGGGCGACACACGCGGATGGGCGCCAACACACAGACACGGGGCGAGGGGGGGAGGGGCAAGGTGGTATTAGCACCCACATCACCACCCTACGGTACCGATTGACACCGGCGGTCCATACTGGTTCAGCACACAGGTTCACCAGAGTGGTTCACCACGTTGGTCCACACTGGTTCACCAGAGTGGTTGACCACGTTGGTCCACACTGGTTCACCAGAATGGTTCACCACGTTGGTCCACACTGGTTCACCAGAATGGTTCACCACGTTGGTCCACACTGGTTCACCAGAATGGTTCACCACGTTGGTCCACACTGGTTCACCAGAGTGGTTCACCACGTCGGTTCACCAGAGTGGTTCACCACGTTGGTCCACACTGGTTCACCAGAGTGGTTGACCACGTTGGTCCACACTGGTTCACCAGAATGGTTCACCACGTTGGTCCACACTGGTTCACCAGAATGGTTCACCACGTTGGTCCACACTGGTTCACCAGAGTGGTTCACCACGTCGGTTCACCAGAGTGGTTCACCAAGTTGGTCCACACTGGTTCACCAGAGTGGTTCACCACGTCGGTTCACCAGGATGGTTCACCAGGATGGTTCACCAGAGTGGTTCACCAAGTTGGTCCACACTGGTTCACCAGGATGGTTCACCACGTTGGTCCACACTGGTTCACCAGAATGGTTCACCAGAATGGTTCACCAGAATGGTTCACCAGAATGGTTCACCACGTTGGTTCACACTGGTTCACCACACTGGTTCACCAGAATGGTTCACCACGTTGGTTCACCACGTTGGTTCACACTGGTTCACCACACTGGTTCACCAGAATGGTTCACCACGTTGGTTCACCAGAATGGTTCACCACGTTGGTTCACCACGTTGGTTCACCAGAGTGGTTCACCAGAGTGGTTCACCAGAATGGTTCACCAGAGTGGTTCACCAGAATGGTTCACCAGAATGGTTCACCACGTCGGTTCACCGAGGGCAGGCCGGGCGGAGTTGGTGCGCGCATCCCTCACATGGACGGATTGTAGCGCCTGCCCATCCGGGCAACAGATCGAACACGGGACGATGGACGGCGGAACGATTTGGGGTTTCCCGCGGGGCAAGGAATGTTAGTTTATTATTTTATTTTTCCGCGGTTCCAAATACTCGGCGGGGGGAGCGGGGGCGGGGGGGGAGGAACCGAACCAACTCACCGGGACTGCCCACACGTGTCAGGCCTGCACCCGACCTGCACCAGGCCTGCACAGGGGCTCACGGTTCACCATCCCGTGGGGCAGGCTCTGGGCTCCGCACCGCCGCTCGGCGTTCCTCACCGCGCTCCTGATGGGCGCGTGTGGAAGAAGAGCTTTGAAAGCCCGTCGGATTCCTCCAGAATAAATAATAAATACTCCGATTCTCCGATTCTGGAGGGACGGCATCTTGCGAGGCGACCCCGGTCCCCCGCAGCCCCCCCCCCCCCCCCCCCCCCCCCCGGGCGGCTCAGGCGTGGCTGGCGAGGCGGCGGTAGTGGGGCAGCACCTCGTGCTCGGGGAGGTGGAGGCTGAACTCGAGGGCCACCAGCACGGGGAACTCAAACGCAATGAGCTCACGGCGGTTCACGCGGAAACGCTCCTCCAGTTTCTGGTGGCACAAAGGGTGGGGGGGGGGTGGGAGGGGGAGGGGGGGGGAGTGGAGGGGGAGCGGAGGGGGGCAGCGTACTCAAATGAGTACCTGGGGGCGGTGTGTCGTAAACATCTCCACTGGGGAGACAAAGGCGACTGGGCGTGGTGCTGGCCACCCACCCCCTCGCGTGTCGCGGTGCCGGCCTTCATTAGGTGCCGATGTTTGCTAACGGCGCTGGCCCCCAACGTTCTTGTTGTAGGCTACACGGGGGTGGGGGGGGGGGGGGCGATGTCTGTGGTGCCCGCGCGTTGCGTCCTCACGTCGAGGAGGTTCTTGACCTCCGGCTTGCGCAGGTCGCTGCTGATCTTGGCGGCGAGCAGCAGGCAGGAGCCGGCGCACAGCTTGCGGTTCTGCTTGTTGAGCTTGCCCTGCAGGACGAGCTTCTCGAAGAAGACGAACGCCACGGCCACCGTCGACTCCTCCAGAGCGCACTCCTCCAGCGCCATCTTGCGCATCTCGCGCTTCAGGCTGCCGCCACCGCCGTACACGCCAAAAATAATCATACAAGGATCCCCCGTGTAGCCTTAGCAGGCTGTAGGGGCAAGTGCCGCTCGCGAGCACTTACGGAAAGGCCGGAGACGGGACACGAGGGGGTGGGGTGGCCAGCGCCACGCCCGACCGCCTTTGTCTCCCGAGCGGCGATGTTATACACACTGCACCAGGTGCTCATTTGAGGCCGAGTCGACCAAGGGGGAGGCCCAGGACCGATTTAGATAATCGTCACCGGTGTTGGCCGTGTTCGTAGCGCAGTGCGCTAACCGCGACAACTGCCGCTCACACAAACGCGTGTCAAAGACAAGGATCCCCCGCCCGTATAGCCTTTACCAGACTGTTGGGGCAAGAGGGTTTCCTTCGCAACGCGAGCAAACACGTTGTGTCGTACTCCCTCCTCCACTCGACGCGGCCCACGAATGGATACGCGTCCTGCTCTCGCACGATCGGTGACCCGGTGGTGCGAGCCGTGATGTTGGTCACGAGAGGCCGAGCCGCGTTACAACCAACGGCCTTCCTTTACCCCCGAGCCCCGGGAGAGCCCAGAGAGACTTCAGGGAGGGAGGAGAGGGAGGTAAGGGACAGAGGTGAGGGAGAGAGGGAGGGAAGCAGTAATGGAGAGAGGGAGGGAGGAGAGGGAGGAGAGGGAAGGAAGCAGTGATGGAGAGAGGGAGGGAGGAGAGGGAGGAGAGGGAGGCAGTGAGGGTGAAGAGGGAACAGAGGGAGGGAGGCATTAAGGGAGGAGAGGGAGGGAGGAGAGGGAGGGAGGAGAGGGAGGGAGGAGAGGGAGGGAGGGAGGGAGAGAAAGAGGGAGGGAGGGGGGGTGAGACTCACCTCCTGATTTTGCTCAGCGTGAGCTTGATGTGCGGGAACTTCTCATGGAACGTGTCGTTCATGTCACGCTTTAGGTCGGACGGCTTCACGTACTCGATGATCGTCGTCTGTGTGGGGGTAAGGGGGTACACGGTGGGTGGGGGGGGGGCACCGACAAAACTGTCTCAGGGTCACGTGCACAGCAGGTTCTGTGCTCAGGGCGACCCAGAGCAAAGGGGGTTAAACATCACGGTGGCTAGGAGATGTTGGCGCCTGCTGTATATTTGGGGTTTACGTGTCTCACTCTCTCTCGCTTCTCAACATGGTCGCGTAGATTTTTCTCCAGGTATTCCGGTTTCCCCCCTCCACATTTAGAATCAACATCACGTGTTCACAGTATTTGACAGGTGCTCTACATTTCCACGGGATGATGATGATGATAATCCACTTTCATTGAGCTATCATACAGCCGGCGTCACTTCTGGAAATAAGCTACATTGCATCTGTCGGGCCTGACACCTGATAAAATATTTTTTTTTCATAGTTGTAGTTTATGGTCATTTACTTTGGGTCTCACACAGGAGAGAACCCCACAACTAATGAATAATCCGCCCCCCCCACCCCTCGACGTGGCATGCGGCACCCCCTCCCTCTGGGCCTCCAGGGGCCTCTGCGTGGCTCTGACTGTGCCCACTGACGCCCATCGTGGTGGTCAAGAATTGTGCGCTGACGGTGTGTATGTTACCTACGTTGAATTTCTTTTGCACCATACGTAGCCAACCGTACTAATCGGAGGTGCAGCGGCAGAGGGGGAGGGGATGGACAACATACTAAAACACGACGATATGGCTTGTGCTGGCCTTCAACCAGCAGTGGATTGATCATGGCGCGAATTATAACAATGAACGCGATGAATGAATGATTAAAAAACGCCGTGCCATCCTTCGATTAGTCCCATTATGATCTAGCATCAGTGTCTCTTGGCTTGGATCGTGTAGAGGTGTAATGTTAGCTGTACCCTCCGCCATCCCAAACAACTTGATCCAAATCAAGTTGTTATGACAATGGCCACATTCGCCAATTGATTTTGGTTGAATCGGCGAAAACCCTGGATAATAATGAAAAGCAAGCCAAAGGTTTTTGTGGAGAGGACATCCAGCATCGCCAGGTGTTAACTAAAGCTCAGCTCTCGTGTTATAGTTAAATACTTACATTACACAGGGATTGCTTTACTTACGAATGAGTTAGGTTCCAGAGGTTCGTAAGTCCAACTTTACTCCTGTCGATTCCAAACATGCTGTATGATGTGTACACTAAACATGGGGAATAACTTAAAAGTTGTATTATCTCCTGTAGATGTCACTAGTTCTTCATGTTCTGCAGATGTACATGCCACTGCTTCTTCATGTTCTGTAGATGTAGATACCACTGGTTCTTCATGTACTATAGATGTAGATGCCACTGGTTCTTCATGTTCTGCAGATGTAGATGCCACTGGTTCTTCATGTTCTGCAGATGTAGATGCCACTGGTTCTTCATGTTCTGCAGATGTAGATGCCACTGGTTCTTCATGTTATGCAGATGTAGATGCCACTGGTTCTTCATGTTATGCAGATGTAGATGCCACTGGTTCTTCACGTTCTATAGATGTAGATGCCACTGGTTCTTCATGTTCTATAGATGTAGATGCCACTGGTTCTTCATGTTCTGCAGATGTAGATGCCACTGGTTCTTCATGTTCTGCAGATGTAGATGCCACTGGTTCTTCATGTTATGCAGATGTAGATGCCACTGGTTCTTCACGTTCTATAGATGTAGATGCCACTGGTTCTTCATGTTCTGCAGATGTAGATGCCACTGGTTCTTCATGTTCTGCAGATGTAGATGCCACTGCTTCTTCATGTTCTGCAGATGTAGATGCCACTGGTTCTTCATGTTCTGCAGATGTAGATGCCACTGGTTCTTCATGTTATGCAGATGTAGATGCCACTGGTTCTTCATGTCCTGCAGATGTAGATGCCACTGGTTCTTCATGTTATGCAGATGTAGATGCCACTGGTTCTTCACGTTCTATAGATGTAGATGCCACTGGTTCTTCATGTTCTATAGATGTAGATGCCACTGGTTCTTCATGTTCTGCAGATGTAGATGCCACTGGTTCTTCATGTTCTGCAGATGTAGATGCCACTGGTTCTTCATGTTCTGCAGATGTAGATGCCACTGGTTCTTCATGTTCTGCAGATGTAGATGCCACTGGTTTTTCATGTTCTGCAGATGTAGATGCCACTGGTTCTTCATGTTCTGCAGATGTAGATGCCACTGGTTCTTCACGTTATGCAGATGTAGATGCCACTGGTTCTTCACGTTCTATAGATGTAGATGCCACTGGTTCTTCATGTTCTGCAGATGTAGATGCCACTGGTTCTTCATGTTCTGCAGATGTAGATGCCACTGGTTCTTCATGTTCTGCAGATGTAGATGACACTGGTTCTTCATGTTCTGCAGATGTAGATGCCACTGGTTCTTCATGTTCTGCAGATGTAGATGCCACTGGTTCTTCACGTTCTATAGATGTAGATGCCACTGGTTCTTCACGTTCTGCAGATGTAGATGCCACCACCGCCATCTATTACACGGAGTTTGAACTTCCAACTCTTGGTCCGAACAGGCAACTGGTCATATGAACAGGTTTGTTCGTATCTCTGAAAGTTCCATCATGCTGCCGATATAGGTGAGATGGGACCGTACCATGTAGGTGGTGAGATGGGACCGTACCATGTAGCAGGTGAGATGGGACCGTACCATGTAGCAGGTGAGATGGGACCGTACCATGTAGCAGGTGAGATGGGACTGTAGCATGCAGGAGGTGAGATGGGGCTGTACCATGTAGGAGGTGAGATGGGACCGTACCATGTAAGAGGTGAGATGGGACTGTACCATGTAGGAGGTGAGATCGGACCATACCAAGTAGGAGGTGAGATCAGACCATACCATGTATGAGGGGAAAATGAGCACACGCTTGTGCTTCCCGCACGGCCACTGCGGGTCCTCCAGGAGGTTGGGGTTGTACTCGAGGAACTCCACGGCGTCTGGGCCCAGGCCTGCACGGGGGTCACACGGCCCTCGCTGTGAGTCCCACACCGACGGGGCACAGCGGTGCAAAGCCAGTCCGTGCTATGACAATATATACTCCGAATTATTATTACTATTATTATGTATTCCGCTTGTTTTTAACCCAGGAAAGACCTAAACGCAGAAGATCCCTGGGTTTAGTCTTCCACAAAGCTGCTCATGGTCCACCCTAAACCGTATCCACTGCAACAAACCATGGCAGCAGTAGATGCGGATAGACCTGATGATGCACAAATGGAAAATAAAAAAATTATTCAGCAGTATGCGACTGTGGTCATCCAGAACAGACCGTATAATGTATAACGACGCAATGCCCCAATCCACAAAGTATACATCACAGCTTAACACGTAGGCTTTCGCGACCAATATTATTCATAATAAAGGTTTTTGGGTTAGATCGCGTTATTTATAAATGTGTCGAAACCCTCCACCACCCGACACGGCCAATCAGCAAAAAAATGTGTCACGTTGACAAAAGACAATTAGTCCACTACTTTAGCCCATCGGTGTGTTGAAGAGTGAATCCACAACATTTACAGTTTGAGTACGACGTTTCGCTGGTAATTACATCCAGCATCATCGGGCAATTCACCAGAATGGTAAAGCCCTCTCCACTTGCTCTCGGTCTTCAATAGAGCAGCAGCAGGGTGACGTCATCATTTAACTCATTTCAGGTGCAGTGATTTGAGGTGGAGGGGGGGGGTATTGTAATTATATAATCGATTGGTAATCAGTCAATGGTTATGATTAGTAATGAGTTGTAGATTAATAATTAGTTGTAGTGTGTGTTATTGTGATTATATGCTACATTAGTAATCCGTTAATTAATGTGTTTCCCCTATAAGGAATTGTAATATGTATTATTTAATAATATGCTTCCAAGCCGCACTAAGCCTATAGCTATCAGAACGATTAAAGTTATTTCTGTTTCTCTCAATTTCAATGGATTCTCTAAACAGTCTTTGCCAGTAATAGTTTTACACAACACTTCAACGTTATCAAAATCAATTGAGTGTCCTTGTTGACAAGCATGTTCTGCCACTGCCGACAGTTGTGTTTGAGATAATTTAATATTATTTAAAATCAATTGGGTGTCCTTGTTGACAAGCATGTTCTGCCACTGCCGACAGTTGTGTTTGATTCTAGATTTTAAGCTTTCGTGACTGCAAGGATCCATACTCTTTGGTTCTATTCGGTAAAGTTACGTAGGTGACTTTACCGAATACCTACGTAACTTTACCGAATAGAACCAAAGCATATAGTTGTGTTTGAGATAATATTATTTAAATTTGAGATAATTTAAATAATATTAAGTTATCTCAAACACAACTGTCGGCAGTGGCAGAACATGCTTGTCAACAAGGTCACTCAATTGATTTTAAATAATATTAAATGATCTCAAACTGTCGGCAGTGGCAGAACATGCTTGTCAACAAGGACACTCAATTGATTTTGATAACGTTGAAGTGTTGTGTAAAACTAATTATTACTGGCAAAGACTAATTAGAGAATCCATTGAAATTGAGAGAAACAGAAATAACTTTAATCGTTCTGACAGCTATAGGCTTAGTGCAGCTTGGAAGCGTATTATTAAATAATACATATTACAATTCCTTATAGGGGAAACACATTAATTAACGGATTACTAATGTAGCATATAATCACAATAACACACATTACAACTAATTACTAATCTACAACTCATTACTAATCATAACCATTGACTGATTACCAATCGATTATATAATTACAATACCCCCCTCCACCTCAAATCACTGCACCTGAAATGAGTTAAATTATGACGTCACCCTGCTGCTCTATTTAAGACCGAGAGCAAGTGGAGAGGGCTTCACCATTCTGGCGAATTGCCCGATGATGCTGGAAGTAATTACCAGCGAAACGTCATACTCAAACTGTAAATGTTGTGGATTCACTCTTCAACACACCGGTGGGCTAAAGTAGTGAATTATTTGTCTTTTTGTCAACGTGACACTTTATTTTGCTGATTGGCCGTGTCGGGTGGTGGAGGGTTTCGACACATTTATAAACAACGCGATCTAACCCAAAAACCTTTATTATGAACACATCACAGCGATACACTCCACTACTCCTGATGCAGTTACCTGGCTTGACCACCCCGCCCATGCCCCACCCCCACCCCCCGCGCCCCCCGCTGAGACGCACCGCTTTCCACGGCGGCTGGGCTGCTGGGCTTGAGGCCCTCGAACGTGGCCTGGCGCAACAGGGCCAGGTTGCGCCCCGTGCTGTTGCGCTGCTGCAGGGGCTGCGGCCCCGAGCCGCTGCCCCCACCGCCCAGGCCTGGCAGCGGCGGCGGCGGCGGCGGCGGCGCATCGCCCCTCCGGCCCAGGAAGGCGAACGTCGGGAAGAGGAACTGAGCGTACGAGACGGTCTGTACGACGCACACGTGGGGGTGGGGGGGTGGGGGATGGGGGGGGGGGGCGTTGGACACGCTCGTCACGAATCCTCAAGACCACCGTCTTCGTCATCAGCATCTTCATAACAACCATCGTCATCACTGCCACCTCAAACATCATCATCTTTTGTTTGTTTGTTGAAGTACAGAGTTAGCCTGATAACTTTAATATAAATTGTATTATGGTTTTATGAGACCTCCTTTGCCAGTAACAAGATATAGGAATAGGTTTTACCCTTTGAACTGGCACAAAAACTGACACCTTTATTCAAGGCATCATGTTTGCAATAACCACAACACAAGCAGTCAAAATGCAAACAAAAAAGACAACTCTGATAATAATATGCAATAATATCCAATCATATTCAAGGACAGTGCATATTATCATCAGAGTTGTCTTTTTTGTTTGCATTTTGACTGCTTGTGTTGTGGTTATTGCAAACATGATGCCTTGAATAAAGGTGTCAGTTTTTGTGTCAGTTAAAAGGGTAAAACCTATTCCTATATCTTGTTAGTGGCAAAGGAGGTCTCATAATGTAAATGCTCACCCCGAGCCCTCAATGCTCTGATAGTGCGCTGTTTTTGAGTTGTACGCCTTTTGGCGTCTTCTGGTCCAACACCAATGGAGACTAGGCTCTAAGAAAAGCCGTCTCGGGTGTGGACCAATCAAATTCAAGGACAGTGCATATCATTATCAGAGTTGTCTTTTTGTGTTTGCATTTTGACTGCTTGTGTTGTGGATATTGCAAACATGATGCCTTGAATAAGGGTATCAGTTTTTGTGCCAGTTAAAAGGGTAAAACCTATTCCTGTATTATGGTTGTTATTGTTTGACTTGCATCCCACTGGGATTTTTGCACACAGCGTTGATAAACGGTGTTTTTTTCTGGAAGACTTTACTGTTTTTTCCTGGATTTTTATGTTGCGTGTAGTCACTTTAAGATGTTTCTTGTTCATGTTTTTGTTTGTTGCGGTTGCACCCGAGTCAAGAGCCACATGGCTCACAGGGCTATACCTAATAAATGAAATTGAAAGTGAAAACTGAAAACTCATCATCACCTCTACCATAATTACCATACACACCACCACTGTAAAAACCCAAAAACCCACTTTCACCATCGTCATAATAATAATCACTGTGATGACCGACATCGTCATCATCATCACCAATGTCACAACAACCATCATCATCACCACCATCACCATCATCATTACCATCCACCCTATCACTGTCAAAACCACTTTCGCCATCATTATAATCACTGTTATCGTCGTCATCACCACCACCAGCATCGTCAACTCTACCATCATCATCACCATCCACCCTATCACTGTCAAAACCACTTTCGCCATCATTATAATCACTGTTATCATCGTCACCACCACCACCAGCATCGTCAACTCTACCATCATCATCACCATCCACCCTATCACTGTCAAAACCACTTTCGCCATCATTATAATCACTGTTATCATCGTCATCACCACCACCAGCATCGTCAACTCTACCATCGTCATCACCACCACCAGCATCGCCACCTCTACCATCATCATCACCACCACCACCATCATCATCACCATCCACCCTATCACTGTCAAAACCACTTTCGCCATCATTATAATCACTGTTATCATCGTCATCACCACCAGCAGTATCGTCAACTCTACCATCATCATCACCACCACCAGCATCGTCAACTCTACCATCATCACCACCATCACCACCACCATCGTCATCACACACAAAGTTCTTGCCACAAATGAACCGCGAGATATCTCGCTGATCTCGTCGTATAAAAACCATCGCGCAAACTCCGGCAATCCTCGCAGTAGCAGCGGTGGCTTTTGGCTAACCGCTGAACAAAGACGGTGCTCACCGCGTCATTGCACAGCGCTTTGAGATGCGCTTCTGCGGCCGCCTGGAATGCTATTAGGAAGCCACTGGAGCTATGCACTTTCAAATAATCTAGTTTGAAAACTAATTTATCTTTAGAACTGCTCTCTGTGTTTAGTTTGCCGTCCTTCCCCCCACACCTCCGATTCGCACGGTTGGCTGCGTATGGCGCGAAAGAAGTTCAACATATCATCCACACCACCATCATTATCGATACTGGCCAGCCCATCACTGACAAAACCACTTTCACCATCATTATCAACATAATCATCTTCACCGACACCAACACTCCCATTATCAAAACCATCATCATCACCACGACCACAACCACCATGATCAGCACGAGCGCGTGTGAGCATTGTTGTAACGCAGTGTGTGTGTGTGCGTCAGTGTGCGTATGGGGAGCGGTGGCGCAGCGGTTAGTGTACTGCACTACGAACCAGGCAACTCCACATTTAGAATAAACATCACACGTTGAGTAGGTTTTCACACCATGAGCCACTTCGTTGAGCTATCTTTGTGGCCCGATCGCTTCTGAAAAACAGCTACATTGCTCAGTGGGGCCTTACCTGGCAAAATAAAAAAATAGTTTATAGTATTGATTTAAAGCTTTCGTGACTGCAGTAATTCATATTCTTAGTTTTTTCGGTAAAGTCACGTTGAAGAGAAACAACAAAATAACAAAATATATATAAAACAATAAAAAATTCTCACGACGTTTCGACCATAACTCAAACGGTCATCATCAGGTGTGTCGGTTTGCATAAATTTATTTTGAAAACGGCATATTTATTTATATATATAAAAATAACGTTTGCGTCACGCGCAACGATGGCAGTTTGCCAGGACTAGTCCATCTATTTTTTGAAAAGAGGAGGGGGGAGACGAAATTTGTTTTTATGTATGCTGTCTGAAAGGCACTGTAAGCGTGAACAATCAATCAAGAACTGAAATGATTTATCAAATCTTTCCAATGATTGCTAAGATAGAATCCATCTTCTCGGTTGAAATTGTCTCTGTGTTTGTATATGTGGATAGCCTCATGAACGAATCTCTCATGGAAGCCAGATGGCTTACAAAGAACCTCCGTCTTGGAAAAGTCAATGGCATGTGAGCCTACTGAATTAGAACAATGATCTGCTACGGCCGAGGTGTTGGTCCTACCGTGTTTAAGGTCTGCTTTATGTTCACGAATGCGGTCCGAGATATGGCGTTTGGTTTCTCCAATGTAACTACTACCACAGAGGCAACTTAGTTTGTAGACACCAGGGTATTGTATGTCCGGAATCACATCTTTTACAGACGGAACCAGATCACGGATTTTATGTAATGTGTTGAAACGGACCTGGATCTTGTGTTTATTCAAGATTTTGGAGATCTTTTTTGTGATCCCAGCAATGTAGGGTAAAGTGATGGTTTTGAAAGGCTCCTCAAGAGGGTTCTTCTTCATGGTTTGAGTGATAGCTTTGCGGATTGTATAGTCGGAGTAACCATTAGCCCTAAGAGCTTGGTGTACGTGCTTGAGTTCACTGCTTATGTGTTCCTGGTCGGATATGCATTGGGCTCTATGATACAGAGTCTTGATGAGAGAATTCTTCTGTGATGGATGGTGGTGGGAATCCGGTTTCAGATAAGCATCCGTATGGGTAGCTTTCCTGTAGACAGAGTGGCTCATTGAACCATCAGGTCTCTTTTTAATTAGGACATCCAAAAAAGGTATCTTGCCATCTATTTCGACTTCCATGGTAAATCTGATGGCTGGGTGTATGGAATTGATGTGGTCGAAGAATTTGTCTAGAGCAGGCCGGCCATGTGGCCAGATGACAAAAGTGTCATCCACGTACCTCTTCCATAAGGTTGGGCGCAGAGTGGCAGTCTGGATGGCGTCAGTCTCAAATTTCTCCATGAAAATGTTAGCTATAACTGGAGAAAGGGGGGAGCCCATTGGGGTGCCCTCAGTTTGTTTGTAGAAAGTTCCATTCCAAGTGAAGTATGTATTGGTTAAACAGTGTCTCACCAGGGGGGGTACCTCAGTGTTTAGTCCTTGATGAACCAAGTCTTCAATGATTGCAATGGTGTCAGGTACAGGAACCTTGGTGAATAAGGAAACTACATCAAAACTGACAAGCAGGTCGTCTGGGGACAGGGAAATACCCTTGATTGTTGATACCAGGTGAGTAGAATTTTGTACCGCAGAGGTGGTCTTTCCAGTGAAAGGACGCAGGATTTCAGACAAAAAACGAGCTAGTTTGTAGGTGGGGGAGCTGATAGTAGAGACTATGGGACGAAGAGGTGTATCAACTTTATGTATTTTTGGTAAGCCGTATAATCTTGGTGGCCTGGCAGCAGAAGGTTTCAACGAAAACTGTTTAGATTGATCAATTAATGCGGTTGAATCAGAAATTATTTTGTTGGTTTGTGTGACGAGGCTGTCGGTGGGATCTCTTTTTATTTTTGTATAACTACCATCGTCGAGTAATTCTTTAATTTTGTTGTTGTATTCTATTTTATCCATGATAACAGTAGCATTGCCTTTGTCAGCTGAGAGAACTACAATATCATTCCTCTTTTTTAATTTATATAATTCAAAACGCTCATCTTTGCTGAGGTTGCTAGCTGGCATCTTAGCGTTTTTGAGGGTTGCAGCGATTTCAGATCTTGCTACGTCTGCAGCGATGTGACCCAGGCCCCTGAGAGCAACGTCTACTTGGGCAATTATATCATTAACTGGTATGTGTTTAGGTGTGACTGCAAAGTTTAGACCTTTAGCTAAAACGGATTTCAGACCATCGGAAATAGAACTGTTACTGCGATTAATTACGACTTTATTAACGTCTAACTTTTTGGTGTGTGGGTCCGGTCTTTTGTTTAAGAGGAGGTTAAATTTGGAAATCAGGTTTTCCTTACATTTGGTCGACATAGTAGCAGCTGAAGAGGCAGTCATATTGTCTACATGTTCCCAATCCGATGTGGACATTATTGCCGTCAATGATAAGTGTGATTTGTAGAGTGTCTTGTCTAACTGATCTAGTTCTGTGCGTATAAGTCTGATTTTTTCTGAGATAAGAGCTAAGCTAGTTTTGAAAAGAATTCGTTTCGCATTAGAAGAAGTTACAGTAGCAGAGGTGAGTGTAAATGCGATTGGTATTACCCCAGAGTCGCGGCATCTCTTCAGGAAGGTGAGAGACTCGATCAGCTGAGCTTTCTTATCCCGGAGTTTGTTGAAAGATCTTAAAGTTATGTGAAAACCCTCCCCGTAGAGGCGATTAAATTTTGATTTAAAGCTTTCGTGACTGCAGTAATTCATATTCTTAGTTTTTTCGGTAAAGTCACGTTGAAGAGAAACAACAAAATAACAAAATATATATAAAACAATAAAAAAATTCTCACGACGTTTCGACCATAACTCAAACGGTCATCATCAGGTGTGTCGGTTTGCATACATTTATTTTGAAAACGGCATATTTATTTATATATATAAAAATAACGTTTGCGTCACGCGCAACGATGGCAGTTTGCCAGGACTAGTCCATCTATTTTTTGAAAAGAGGAGGGGGGAGACGAAATTTGTTTTTATGTATGCTGTCTGAAAGGCACTGTAAGCGTGAACAATCAATCAAGAACTGAAATGATTTATCAAATCTTTCCAATGATTGCTAAGATAGAATCCATCTTCTCGGTTGAAATTGTCTCTGTGTTTGTATATGTGGATAGCCTCATGAACGAATCTCTCATGGAAGCCAGATGGCTTACAAAGAACCTCCGTCTTGGAAAAGTCAATGGCATGTGAGCCTACTGAATTAGAACAATGATCTGCTACGGCCGAGGTGTTGGTCCTACCGTGTTTAAGGTCTGCTTTATGTTCACGAATGCGGTCCGAGATATGGCGTTTGGTTTCTCCAATGTAACTACTACCACAGAGGCAACTTAGTTTGTAGACACCAGGGTATTGTATGTCCGGAATCACATCTTTTACAGACGGAACCAGATCACGGATTTTATGTAATGTGTTGAAACGGACCTGGATCTTGTGTTTATTCAAGATTTTGGAGATCTTTTTTGTGATCCCAGCAATGTAGGGTAAAGTGATGGTTTTGAAAGGCTCCTCAAGAGGGTTCTTCTTCATGGTTTGAGTGATAGCTTTGCGGATTGTATAGTCGGAGTAACCATTAGCCCTAAGAGCTTGGTGTACGTGCTTGAGTTCACTGCTTATGTGTTCCTGGTCGGATATGCATTGGGCTCTATGATACAGAGTCTTGATGAGAGAATTCTTCTGTGATGGATGGTGGTGGGAATCCGGTTTCAGATAAGCATCCGTATGGGTAGCTTTCCTGTAGACAGAGTGGCTCATTGAACCATCAGGTCTCTTTTTAATTAGGACATCCAAAAAAGGTATCTTGCCATCTATTTCGACTTCCATGGTAAATCTGATGGCTGGGTGTATGGAATTGATGTGGTCGAAGAATTTGTCTAGAGCAGGCCGGCCATGTGGCCAGATGACAAAAGTGTCATCCACGTACCTCTTCCATAAGGTTGGGCGCAGAGTGGCAGTCTGGATGGCGTCAGTCTCAAATTTCTCCATGAAAATGTTAGCTATAACTGGAGAAAGGGGGGAGCCCATTGGGTGCCCTCAGATTCTATCTTAGCAATCATTGGAAAGATTTGATAAATCATTTCAGTTCTTGATTGATTGTTCACGCTTACAGTGCCTTTCAGACAGCATACATAAAAACAAATTTCGTCTCCCCCCTCCTCTTTTCAAAAAATAGATGGACTAGTCCTGGCAAACTGCCATCGTTGCGCGTGACGCAAACGTTATTTTTATATATATAAATAAATATGCCGTTTTCAAAATAAATTTATGCAAACCGACACACCTGATGATGACCGTTTGAGTTATGGTCGAAACGTCGTGAGAATTTTTTATTGTTTTATATATATTTTGTTATTTTGTTGTTTCTCTTCAACGTGACTTTACCGAAAAAACTAAGAATATGAATTACTGCAGTCACGAAAGCTTTAAATCAAAATTTAATCGCCTCTACGGGGAGGGTTTTCACATAACTTTAAGATCTTTCAACAAACTCCGGGATAAGAAAGCTCAGCTGATCGAGTCTCTCACCTTCCTGAAGAGATGCCGCGACTCTGGGGTAATACCAATCGCATTTACACTCACCTCTGCTACTGTAACTTCTTCTAATGCGAAACGAATTCTTTTCAAAACTAGCTTAGCTCTTATCTCAGAAAAAATCAGACTTATACGCACAGAACTAGATCAGTTAGACAAGACACTCTACAAATCACACTTATCATTGACGGCAATAATGTCCACATCGGATTGGGAACATGTAGACAATATGACTGCCTCTTCAGCTGCTACTATGTCGACCAAATGTAAGGAAAACCTGATTTCCAAATTTAACCTCCTCTTAAACAAAAGACCGGACCCACACACCAAAAAGTTAGACGTTAATAAAGTCGTAATTAATCGCAGTAACAGTTCTATTTCCGATGGTCTGAAATCCGTTTTAGCTAAAGGTCTAAACTTTGCAGTCACACCTAAACACATACCAGTTAATGATATAATTGCCCAAGTAGACGTTGCTCTCAGGGGCCTGGGTCACATCGCTGCAGACGTAGCAAGATCTGAAATCGCTGCAACCCTCAAAAACGCTAAGATGCCAGCTAGCAACCTCAGCAAAGATGAGCGTTTTGAATTATATAAATTAAAAAAGAGGAATGATATTGTAGTTCTCTCAGCTGACAAAGGCAATGCTACTGTTATCATGGATAAAATAGAATACAACAACAAAATTAAAGAATTACTCGACGATGGTAGTTATACAAAAATAAAAAGAGATCCCACCAACAGCCTCGTCACACAAACCAACAAAATAATTTCTGATTCAACCGCATTAATTGATCAATCTAAACAGTTTTCGTTGAAACCTTCTGCTGCCAGGCCACCAAGATTATACGGCTTACCAAAAATACATAAAGTTGATACACCTCTTCGTCCCATAGTCTCTACTATCAGCTCCCCCACCTACAAACTAGCTCGTTTTTTGTCTGAAATCCTGCGTCCTTTCACTGGAAAGACCACCTCTGCGGTACAAAATTCTACTCACCTGGTATCAACAATCAAGGGTATTTCCCTGTCCCCAGACGACCTGCTTGTCAGTTTTGATGTAGTTTCCTTATTCACCAAGGTTCCTGTACCTGACACCATTGCAATCATTGAAGACTTGGTTCATCAAGGACTAAACACTGAGGTACCCCCCCTGGTGAGACACTGTTTAACCAATACATACTTCACTTGGAATGGAACTTTATACAAACAAACTGAGGGCACCCCAATGGGCTCCCCCCTTTCTCCAGTTATAGCTAACATTTTCATGGAGAAATTTGAGACTGACGCCATCCAGACTGCCACTCTGCGCCCAACCTTATGGAAGAGGTACGTGGATGACACTTTTGTCATCTGGCCACATGGCCGGCCTGCTCTAGACAAATTCTTCGACCACATCAATTCCATACACCCAGCCATCAGATTTACCATGGAAGTCGAAATAGATGGCAAGATACCTTTTTTGGATGTCCTAATTAAAAAGAGACCTGATGGTTCAATGAGCCACTCTGTCTACAGGAAAGCTACCCATACGGATGCTTATCTGAAACCGGATTCCCACCACCATCCATCACAGAAGAATTCTCTCATCAAGACTCTGTATCATAGAGCCCAATGCATATCCGACCAGGAACACATAAGCAGTGAACTCAAGCACGTACACCAAGCTCTTAGGGCTAATGGTTACTCCGACTATACAATCCGCAAAGCTATCACTCAAACCATGAAGAAGAACCCTCTTGAGGAGCCTTTCAAAACCATCACTTTACCCTACATTGCTGGGATCACAAAAAAGATCTCCAAAATCTTGAATAAACACAAGATCCAGGTCCGTTTCAACACATTACATAAAATCCGTGATCTGGTTCCGTCTGTAAAAGATGTGATTCCGGACATACAATACCCTGGTGTCTACAAACTAAGTTGCCTCTGTGGTAGTAGTTACATTGGAGAAACCAAACGCCATATCTCGGACCGCATTCGTGAACATAAAGCAGACCTTAAACACGGTAGGACCAACACCTCGGCCGTAGCAGATCATTGTTCTAATTCAGTAGGCTAACATGCCATTGACTTTTCCAAGACGGAGGTTCTTTGTAAGCCATCTGGCTTCCATGAGAGATTCGTTCATGAGGCTATCCACATATACAAACACAGAGACAATTTCAACCGAGAAGATGGATTCTATCTTAGCAATCATTGGAAAGATTTGATAAATCATTTCAGTTCTTGATTGATTGTTCACGCTTACAGTGCCTTTCAGACAGCATACATAAAAACAAATTTCGTCTCCCCCCTCCTCTTTTCAAAAAATAGATGGACTAGTCCTGGCAAACTGCCATCGTTGCGCGTGACGCAAACGTTATTTTTATATATATAAATAAATATGCCGTTTTCCAAATAAATTTATGCAAACCGACACACCTGATGATGACCGTTTGAGTTATGGTCGAAACGTCGTGAGAATTTTTTATTGTTTTATATATATTTTGTTATTTTGTTGTTTCTCTTCAACGTGACTTTACCGAAAAAACTAAGAATATAGTTTATAGTAGTTTAGTTGTAGGTACTCGCTAACAGCACCTGCCCCAAGAGTCCATTAAGGCTATATGGGGCATCTTTGTCTGTACAAGCGTCGATACCTTGCCATCGGCTCCCAGCTCCACGCCCTCCAGGCCCATCACCATCTCCGTGGAGGTGGGGACACCCCCGGATGCATGCCTCTGCCTCCCGGGTTCTCCCCGCACCTCCCTGCGTCCACACACAACAAGACAAAGAATAGAATAGTATAGAATAAGCAGACTGCTGGGTCAAGTGCTTTTAGTGAGCGGCGCCTAGGAAGCCCGGATTGAAAACGCATTTCTTTAAAAATGCTTTTCGTGTTTGTTGTTCTTCCCCCCTGCACCTCCGATTAGCAACGGTTGGCTACGTACGGTGCGAAAAAAGTTCAACATACAATATACACGGAGCAGTCTGACAGCTAGCTACACGAACACGGAATCTGGCGCTTAGGTGATACAATATATTTTCCTGGTTGCTGGTCGACTGCAGTAAGCAAGTGACAGGTAGCCACAGGCGTTGAATGGTATACTGGTTGTGGTGTGGAAACACTTGATGGCTCGCTGAATCAGTTGGACCCGGCTGAAATTGATCCCTGAAACCAGGTGACATGTACCCAAGAGATTCTGAGTGCTGTGAGATGACACACTCAGGAGTTATGGGATCACAGACCCAGGAGTTATGGGTTTATAGACCACGGTGTTGTAGGTTTAGACACCCTGGTGTTGTGGGTTTAGACACCCTGGTGTTGTGGGTTTAGACACCCTGGTGTTGTAGGTTTAGACATCCTGGTGTTGTGGGTTTAGACACCCTGGTGTTGTGGGTTTAGATACCCTGGTGTTATGGGTTTAGACACCCTGGTGTTATGGGTTTAGACACCCTGGTGTTATGGGTTTAGACACCCTGGTATTGTGGGTTTAGACACCCTGGTGTTGTGGGTTTATAGACCACGGTGTTATGAGTTTAGACACCCTGGTGTTATGGGTTTAGACACCCTGGTATTGTGGGTTTAGACACCCTGGTGTTATGGGTTTAGACACCCTGGTGTTGTGGGTTTAGACACCCTGGTGTTATGGGTTTAGACACCCTGGTGTTGTGGCTTTAGACACCCTGGTGTTGTGGGTTTAGACACCCTGGTGTTATGGGTTTAGACATCCTGGTGTTGTGGGTTTAGACACCCTGGTGTTGTGGGTTTAGATACCCTGGTGTTATGGGTTTAGACACCCTGGTGTTATGGGTTTAGACACCCTGGTGTTATGGGTTTAGACACCCTGGTATTGTGGGTTTAGACACCCTGGTGTTGTGGGTTTATAGACCACGGTGTTATGAGTTTAGACACCCTGGTGTTATGGGTTTAGACACCCTGGTATTGTGGGTTTAGACACCCTGGTGTTATGGGTTTAGACACCCTGGTGTTGTGGGTTTAGACACCCTGGTGTTATGGGTTTAGACACCCTGGTGTTTTGGCTTTAGACACCCTGGTGTTGTGGGTTTAGACACCCTGGTGTTATGGGTTTAGCCACCCTGGTGTTGTGGGTTTAGCCACCCTGGTGTTGTGGGTTTAGACACCCTGGTGTTATGGGTTTATAGACCACAGTGTTATGGGTTTGCAGGTGCAGGTGCTGTGGGTTTAGAGACCACAACGTGATGGCGGGGGGGGGGGGGGCAGGGTCACAGGGCCCCTGGTGGTACAGAGCGAGTGTGAGCACGCGGTGCTGTTGTGGGCTCCCGGCTGGAGCGGTGAGCGTGGCGAGCGTGGCGAGCGTGGCGGCATGGCGGCGTGGGGGCGTGGCGAGCGTGGTGGCGTTGCAGCGTGGCGGCTCACCCCAGGTGCGTGCCCTCGCGGTATGGCAGCACCGAGAAGACGGTGCAGAACGATCGCTTGGCGCTGATCAGCACGATCCTGCGGGGCCACGGGGGGAGTCGTCCGGGACGGGCCAGAGAGAGAGAGAGAGGTGGGCGGGGGGGGGAGAGGGACACGGTGGCGAGACAAACGAGGGTACGACTATGAACTCTAAACACACACACGTCATCGGAATGGAATCGGTAGAAAAACTGATGACCTACGCACACGTCATTGGACCAGGAAAGGGTTAAATGCACACGTACAGCACACACACACGCAGCACAAAAACGCACACACACGCACACATGCGCGCGCACACACACACGCACAAGACGAAGATCCCTCGTTGTAGCCTTAAACAAACTGTTGGGGCAAGTGCCGTTCACGAGTAGCACCGATGAAGGCCGGCACTGTGGCACAGGAGGGAGTGCGTAGCCAGCACTATGCCCGGCCGCCTTTGTTTTCCCAGTTGCGATGTTTACACACCGCACCAGGTACTCATTTGAGGCCGAGTCGACCTAGAGGAGGCCCAGGACCGCTTTAGCTAGTCGTCACTGGTCTTGGCCGTGAGCGGGAATCGAATTCGGGTCATCGGGTTCCTAACACGCGCATACACGCACGCACACACACACACAATTCCCCTGTCTAAGCACCCCCCCAGGAAAGTCCGTTTCCTAAGCCAGTGCCTCAATGCAGCAGCGGCAGCAGTAGCTGCCAACGAACTGCTGCAGGTCTCGGAGACCCGCACCCCCTAATGACAGACCTCCCCCTTGCCAGCAGCAGCAGCGGCGGCGGCAGTGTTGATGGAGGCTTCCCATGGTGGTGGTGGTGGGAGGCTTGCGACGGTGATGGTCAAGGCGTGGTGGTGATGATGGCGGTGGTGGCGGTGGTGATAATGATGATGGTGGTAAGGTGATGCGAGTGGAAAAGGCTTGCGACGGTGGTGGTCGAGGTATGTCATGATGATGCCGATGGTGGTGATAAAGGTGGTGATGATGATGCCGATGGCGGTGGTGACGATCGAGGAGGTGGTGATGAAGATTGATTTCTGGTCATCGGGAGCTCAGCTGCGAGGGAGCGAGCAATGAGCGGCAGAGGCCCCACGGCAACGTGCAGGGCCGTGCGAGCGACGCAGGGGGAAGGAGGCGGAGGTTGGGGAAGAGGCCCGAGGAGGAGGGAGGAGGGGAGGGGGGAGGGGAGGAGTGAGCCCTGATCGGCGGTGCCGCTCGACCACGGTCCTCGAGACATTCCCGCGGACTGTCGATCATCAGGCACGTGCAGCGTGCTTGGGGCCTAATTTGCACGTCAGGAGGAGAGATGAGAACAATGGGAGCAGTGCTCGCAGCACGAGGTGGAGAGCTTCACCCGCGGGCGCGGCCAGGAAGGAGGCTCGCCGGCCTCTCAACGACGATTCATCGCCGTGCCGGATCGATGCTGGCTGGGGGGTGGGGGCGGTGGGAGGGAGGGGGGGGGGCACAAGTGAATCCCTCGCCTCTCTGCTGCTCCGACTGGAACATCTCTGAAGAAAGTGAGCTTCACAGGATCATGGGATTCCTCCAGGACAAAGATTCCACGATTCTGCTTCCCCCGAACGTGCGGCGGGGATCGCGACGGCGAGGCCGGCGCTGCTGCCGCTGCCAGCGTTGGCAGCGGGGCACAGGCACGGCCAGCAAAAAGCCCAGAGCGTTCCTCAATAACGCTGCGGAGGGTTAAGGTTTACACAACAGGGAGACGTTATGGGAAACGTGTCCCTCCCCCCTGCCCCCCCCCCCATTTGCAGCGCGCTATGCACAAGGGACAGTGCCTGAAATGCCCTCTATTCTATTCTCGTGCACGAAGGCAGCTGCAGCAGCAGTGATGTGTGGTGGTGGTGGTGGTGGTGGTTCAGCATTTCGGTGCCAATGTGGAGGTTCTGCTGCTGCTGCTGCTGCCACGACCAGAGAGGGAGAGAGAGGGCTTCAGCAGAGCGAGAGTTCGTGTCGTTGTTCCTCCTTCTCCGCTGAAGGAGCGCAGACCACAGTGGGTTTACCATCTGGTCTCTGTGTCCCCCCTGGCTTCCACTCCGTGAATATTCACGCGCTCTTCCTCAACGATCAGCGTAACCCCTTGCGTGCGTGTGCATGCGTGGGTCTGAGTGTGTGTGCATGCGGGGAGCGGTAGTGAATATGGCAGACACGGGCAAAGTACGGCCCCCGGGCCGTATACGGCCTGCCGAATTTGTCCAAATATTATTATTAAATTAAATTTTACCTTTCTCCTGTAATGCCCCCATTTCCCCATTAGATGGCGCACTTTGACCGGGAGTGTGGTAATTGGTTTGGGCGCAGGCCTCAGACGTTTTCATGATGTTTGATCAGTCACGTTAAGACATGTTTTTGTATTGTTCATGTTCGTGCAATTTGTTAAATTGCCTCGCAAAGAAATGCCTTGCTACCTGTTAAAGGCCAAATCCTTTCACGTAATTATTATTTACACGTCATTTATATTAGTTCACACAAACACTCCATCCATCTGTTCCTGGCCCGGCCCCTCTGTCAAATTTGAGAATCCATTGTGGCCCGCGAGTCAAAAAATGTGCCCACCGCTGGTATATGGTTAGTGCTACGTTGCGCAACGAACCCGGTGACCCGAGTTTGATTCCCGCTCACGGCCAACACCTAGGTCGACTCAGCCTCAAATGAGTGCCCGGAGTGTGTTGTGCAAACATCACCACTGGAGAGACAAAGGCGGCCGGGCGTGGTGCTGGCCACTCACCCCGTCATGTGCCGTGCCGGCCTTCATACGTGCTCCCTAGCAGCACTTGCCCCAACAGTCGCTCTTCGGCCTTTGTTACTGTCCCATGCTTTACGATTCGCACGTCACAGCAACGTGGAGAATTAATATAAAAAGGTCCCTTCTCTGGGCACAACTAAAACTATAAACTATTTTTCGTTAAATTTTACCAGGTAAGTCCCCACTGAGTTACGTAGCTCTTCTTCAGAAGCGACCTGGCCACAAATGACAGCTCAATAAAAAACAAGTATTTTTTCTGCGTGGAAATTCCTAGCAGCCAAATACTCTTGAACGGAGGGACCCAGAGGAAAAATCCATTGCGACCACGGGGAAAGAGAGAGAGGGAGAGACGCGCAAACTCCAAATATACAGCAGGACGTCAGGATCGGGATCGAACCCACAACCTCCTGCATACCGGGCGAGGTAGTCAACATCTCCGAGCCACCGTGGAGCCCCCAGGAAGCGGCGCGCGCTAGGCAGAGCTGACGCCACGGCCTTCGACTGCCAGCATGTTGCGCCACTCGCGTCTTGCGAGGGCGCCGCGGCAAGCGAGGTTTTGGCGGCAGAGCGCGGCTCACGGCAGGGAGAAGGGAGATTGGGCAGCGGATTTGAGCAGAGTCTAAGGGCAGCGACAGCTCGCGATTAGCGGAGGTTTTCTTCGCGACAGACCGCGGCAAACCTCAGCGCAAGGATCGGGGCTTTGGCGACAGACAGGGAGAATCGGCAGCGGATTTGAGCAGTCTTGAGGGAAGCGACAGATCGCAGACGGCAGAGGCTTCTCTCGCGACGGACCGCGGCAAAACCTCAGCGGAAGGATCGGGGTGTTGGCGACAGAGCCGTGGCTCACGGCGGAGGGAGAGGGGAGAGGGGAGAGGCAGCATCGCTCCCACAAAGTCCACGCTGGCTGCGTGCACAGTGGGGAAGGTGTGCCGACGTCCGATTTTACTGTCATTTATTTTGAATTAATACCGGAGTCGACTCTCGATTATAGGCGCCAATGACAGGGAGGGCGGCCGTGGATAATTCAAAATCGCGGATAATCCAAAAATGTAAACATTTTCCGCGGAACTCTATGCCAAAAGCCACGAATATAGAGGGATAAATTTAGAATGAATTCTAACGTCGACCGATCGATGCGCCTGCTCAGTGATAACACTTTGCTGCTCCCCTACAGAGAACTTGGCCCACTCAGTGGATGACAGCAGAGCCACGCCAATCAACATCAATCAAACCCCGCCCCACCGTTGTAAAGATATGGCAACTACTGTACTGAAGAGGCGAGCACGTGGATTTCGGATTAACCGGAGCAACATATTTGTTCGATTTAAGCACCGTGTTGCTTGTAAATAAACATCTCCAAGAATAACAATGCATAGCTGTTTTTAGGTTATTAATTTGGGCTTAAGGGAAAATCCACGAGTCATTAATTAATGTAGAAAAATATCATAAATGATATGTGTATATACAGGGTGCTTACAAAAAACATTTCCTGAGAATTTGCAACAACACCACAAGAAATGTCCTGCTGCCTCCGGGCTCTGGAGACCATCTGGAGAGGCTTCCAGGCACGCGTTGACAACGATGGCGCACAAGTGGAGACTCTTTGACTTTTTGAAGCTATTAGCATTACATTTGTTATTACGTTACAGTGTATTTATCCGTTAAAAACGATAGTCCCATGTAAGTGTTAAAACATTTTTTTAAAGAAGCACCCTGCATATAAACCTTTTTTCCCTCCAAGTCTGTCTCGGTTGCGCCACCGGCGACGCATCGTCCACGGGACGACGAATCCGCCCCGATTGTGCGACGCGCGCAGCGGCGCAGACCCCTCCGCGCCAGGGAACAGTCTGCGGGAGTGGACACCGTAGAGCTACCTGCGAGCTTCCCTTCTTCACAAACGGGCCCCCCACCCCTGGTTCGCTCGCGGATTTAGTGGGGCGGCACTTTTCCCACCCCCCCCCCCCCCCGCTCTGCCGCCGAGGGCAATGTTCGTCGAGACACCGCTCAAACCGACAACTGTTCAATCTCAGAACAGGAGCGCAGCCAAATTAAGTGCCGAACTAAACCGAATGCAATATTGTTTTTGTCCTGTCGACGGAGACGCGCGTAGAACCGTCAACTCGTTGACACTTGGAAACCCAGTTCCATGACAACCGGTCGATGCGAGTCTTCGGGGGTCTCTATGTGGGTCTATGGGTCTCTATTAAGTCTTTGGATGTCTATATGTGAATCTACGGATCTCTATGTACTTGTATGGGTCTCTGTGTTCTATGGGTCTGTATTTGCTTCTATGAGTCTATGTAGTTTATGGGTCTCTATGTGCGTCTATGGGTCGATGTGCTTCTACAGGTCTGTATGTGAGTCTACGGGTCTCTATGCGAGTCTACGGGTCTTTATGCGAGTCTACGGGTCTCTATGCGAGTCTACGGGTCTCTATGCGAGTCTACGGGTCTCTATGCGAGTCTACGGGTCTCTATGCGAGGTCTCTGTGCGAGTCGCTGGTGACCGGGTCCAGAGACCGCTTTACATCGCGGGCGGCCGAGACCCACGGAGAGATGCTCGGCATCTCAGCGCCGGCGACTCGGCACGGCCACCTCCTTTTGAGACCTGGCCGACTCCGCGTGGGTTAAGCGAAGCTTCCGATTGCTGTTAGCTGGAGGTCGGAGCGAGAGAGAGCGAGAGAGCGATCGACAGGAGAAGCAAGTGCGGAAATGAAGGGCGGCGTCATGGCCGCCACGACCGTCATGGCCGCCTCCCCCCGGCCCGCTACCGGGGCCCACCCGGCAGGCTTCACCTTCCGTTGCTCGTGTCATGCTGCCTTAAATTCGTTACAAAGTGAGGCGTCCGCCCGCTGCGCCCGGGCGGGGAGCCAGACGTGCGGCGGCACCTGTGGGGAGGAGGGGGAGGGGGGGGGGCCATAACGACACCGGTGACGTCCGTGGAGACGGAGAGCGCCTTAGTAGGGGGGGGGGGGGGGGGGGGGGACACACGAGGGGGACGCTACGGAGCTCCGCAGCGAGGCGACCGCGCTAACCGCACCGCCGCCCACCGCACCGCCGCCCACCCCCGATTCAAACGAGCAACCCAAACTATTTATTTTGCAGGCCGTCATAGGAGGCTGGGTTTAGCAGCGCTTGTCCTGACAGTCTGTTAAGGCGATATTGGGGATCGTTGTATTTGTGAAATGGAAAAATAATAGTTTTTTTTTTACTTTTTCTGGCAATAAAACAGTTGTGTTCAGATGTTCAAACGCCAAATAGATTATACCTCTCGCAAGGCATTAAGTACTGCATTAACCACACACACTACTTGTGGTGAACATGTAAACAAACACGCTCTAATAATAATAATATATGGCATTGTCTTTGAAACGGATTGGCCTACACTAGAGACAGCAGCCTTCTTTCAGGCCTTATCTCGCTACCACCAGTGTCAGACCAGAGAACACTACAAGGTGAACAGTACAAAGGCAATGCACTATCAGGTTATTTATAGCTCAGGGTGAGCAGCTATTTGGTGTTTGATCATCTTAACACCTCCTGTTTCATTGCCAGAAAAGGGTAAAACATTTTCTTACTTTTCATACTTTGATACTGACAAATAGGTCCCCCATGATGATAGCCCAACGGAGTGGCTTATCATCATCACGTGGACATTTATAGGAGCAGCCAAACACCCTAAACGCGTGACTTTGATTATAAATGTGGAGGGCAAATTATCGGAAGACCCGGAGAAAAATCCACGCGAACACGGGGAGAGAGAGAACACGCAGCCTCCAAATATACAGCAGCAGGCATCGTCAGGGTCGTGATCAAACCCACGACCTCCTGCATACTGGGCGAGGTAGTCGACATCACGTAGCCACCGTGACGCTCCCACAAATTAATTTTTGGGGGCACCCCCTTTGACTTCACCACTGGCACGGCATCTGAGCTCCGCCGGCGCGGGGCCCCTGGTGGACGTGGCGGGGTGGTGGTTCGCCGGAGCCAATCCGTGATTGCGCCTGGCCAAGGCATCCGCAATCTGGCTCGAATCTATTGACACCGCCCACCCACCCCCTTCCCACCCAGCCGTAGTGACCAGCGTGGCGCCAATTGCGGTCGAACAACCCCCAGTGGTTGACGCAAAGAAAGGGGATGGGACTCGTCCAGCCGTGGATCGACAGCGGGGGCGTACAAACATGAACACGTGGAAACTAAGCAACGTGCGGCGACTGTACGGACGTAGAGAAGAGCTTAGCAAGCTCGTCGTAATTCCTCCGGTCCAGGTGAAGATTCTGCTGGTGGCTGGATTTTTTTCAACGGCCACTTCGATTTAGGTCAGCACGTGCGTGTGCGTGCGCGTGGGGAGCGGCGGTGTAGCGGTCAGCGCGCTGCGCTACAAACCCTGCGACCAGATTTAGAGTCCGACCAACATCGGTGACGAATATCTGAACCGGTGTTGGGCCTCCGCTCGGTCGCCTCAGTCTCAAGTGAGTACCTGGTGCAGTGTGTAAATGTCGCCACTGGGGGGGGGGGGGGGAGACAAAGGCGGCCGGGCGTGGTGTTGGCCACCCACCCCCTCGTGTGCCGCTCCAGCCTTCATAGGTGCTGCTCGCTAACAGCACTTGCCCCAACAGTCTGTTCAGGCTATAGCGGGGATCTTTTTTTTATCTTTGTTGACCATAGGGTCAGTGGCTACCCACACAACTGATACTGCAATCAGCTTCATCAGTATTGTGAAAGATGGGTTTAATGTTTCACACACCCACAGACAAAGATCCCCCATGTAGCCTGAACAGGCTGTTGGGGGCAAGTGCTTTTAGCGAGCACCTACGAAGGCACCGCGCGGCACACGAGGGGGTTTGGTGGCCAGCACCACGCCCGGCCGCCTTTGTCTCCCCAACGGCGATGTTTACACACCGCACCAGGTACTCATTTGAGGCCGAGTCGACCAAGGGGAAGGCCCCAGGACCGGTTCAGATAATCGTCACCGGTGGTGTCGGTGGCCGTGAGCGGGAATCGAACTCGGCTCGCCGGGTTCGTAGCGCAGCGCGTGGCGAACCATCGCGCCGCCACTCCGCCACAACGTTTCCCACACCCACGGCTCACTCGAGCACGGGGGACCTGATAACCAACCCGTTATTTAACCGAAACCTACGACAACCTGGAGCCCGTTGTCATTGAAACTGCCCACGCTGCGCTGGCCACGGTCGTTGTTTGACCATACTTCACCCATGTCGGTCAATGCGGGGGTCGGGTGAAGAGGGCGCAAATCCAACTCGGGTAATGCGTAGCCGGGTTCATGGCGCCCAGAGATCCGGCCACCGCTCCACCCATTAAAAATCACATAATTGCCGCTCATCAATGGAATCGACTTCACCTTCACGTTAACGTCGTCGCTGAAGCGTGGCGCGGAGGTGCACGCGTGCGTGTGCGCTCCACAAGGACAACTACAGAAGACAAAGATCCCGTCCACCACGCGTATAGTCGGGAGCGAGTGCTGTTAGCGAGACACCTCCTTCCTCGACAGGAGAGGGGAGGGAGGGCACAGACAAGCAACGAGAGGAGAGACACAGCATGGACAGCAGCAGCAGCTGTGCGCCATGCCAGCGGTGTGCAGGGCAGAGGCAAGACTGGAGGAAAGGGCGATGGAGTAAGGAAGACAAGGGTTGTAGGAGATCCACACTTTCTTGAGGGTTTCTGCATCGCATGCTTGGGCCAGTTCCTTGTCACGTTCACTGGACATCTGTGAGACGAGTGGTCATCTGTAGAAAAAAGGAGCCTTACAGCTTATCGGATTCCTCCAGTACAAATAAATATTCGGATTCTTTTCAAGACGTGGGGTTTTTCCGCCGTGGAGAGGATAACATTCGGAAGCCCGCGAAGCTTTTTGCTGTACTGCCATCTACTGGCCACCATGCCAGCCTTGCTTTGGGTGTCGCAGTGGCGAGATGTCAACTACCTCGCCTGGTATACAGGAGGTCGTTGTAGATGTAAACTACCTCGCCTGGTATACAGGAGGTCGTGGTAGATGTCAACTACCTCGCCTGGTATACAGGAGGTCGTTGTAGATGTCAACTACCTCGCCTGGTATACAGGAGGTCGTGGTAGATGTCAACTACCTCGCCTGGTATACAGGTCGTGGTAGATGTTGACTACCTCGCCTGGTGTACAGGAGGTCGTGGTAGATGTTGACTACCTCGCCTGGTGTACAGGAGGTCGTGGTAGATGTTGACTACCTCGAATGGTATACAGGAGGTCGTGGTAGATGTCAACTACCTCGCCTGGTATACAGGAGGTCGTGGTAGATGTTTACTACCTCGCCTGGTGTACAAGAGGTCGTGATAGATGTCAACTACCTCGCCTGGTGTATAGGAGGTCGTGGTAGATGTTGACTACCTCGCCTGGTATACAGGAGGTCGTGGTAGATGTCAACTACCTCGCCTGGTATACAGGAGGTCGTGGTAGATGTTAACTACCTCGCCTGGTATACAGGAGGTCGTGGTAGATGTTGACTACCTCGCCTGGTACACAGCAGGTCGTGGTAGATGTCAACTACCTCGCCTGGTATACAGGAGGTCGTGGTAGATGTCAACTACCTCGCCTGGTGTACAGGAGGTTGTGGTAGATGTTGACTACTTCGCCTGGTATACAGGTCGTGGTAGATGTCAACTACCTCGCCTGGTATACAGGAAGTCGTGGTAGATGTCGACTACCTCGCCTGGTATACAGGAGGTCGTGGTAGATGTTTACTACCTCGCCTCTCGCCTGGTAGACAGGAGGTCGTGGTAGATTTTGACTACCTCGCCTGGTATACAGGAGATCGTGGTAGATGTTGACTACCTCGCCTCGTGTACAGGAGGTCGTGGTAGATGTTAACTACCTCGCCTAGTATACAGGAGGTCGTGGTAGATGTCAACTACCTCGCCTGGAATACAGGAGGTCGTGGTAGATGTTGACTACCTCGCCTGGTGTACAGGAGGTCGTGGTAGATGTTGACTACCTCGCCTGGTATACAGGAGGTCGTGGTAGATGTCAACTACCTTGCCTGGTGTACAGAAAGTCGTGGTAGATGTCGACTACCTCGCCTGGTATACAGGAGGTCGTGGTAGATGTTGACTACCTCGCCTGGTAGACAGGAGGTCGTGGTAGATGTTGACTACCTCGCCTGGTATACAGGAGGTCGTGGTAGATGTTGACTACCTCGCCTCGTGTACAGGAAGTCGTGGTAGATGTTAACTACCTCGCCTCGTATACAGGAGGTCGTGGTAGATGTCGAATACCTCGCCTGGTGTACAGGAGGTCGTGGTAGATGTTGACTACCTCGCCTGGTATACAGGAGGTCGTGGTAGATGTTGACTACCTCGCCTGGTATACAGGAGGTCGTGGGTTCGATCGCGACCCTGACGCCTGCCGTATATGTGGACTTTGCGTCTCTTTCTCTCTCTCTCCGTGTATTTTCTTTCTCTGGGTGCTCCGTTTCTTTCCCCTCCACGTTTAGAAACAACATCACGTGCTTAGCGAGTACTTTGGCTGCTTGCTGTAAATTTCCACGTTATGTCATTTATGATGGCCAGGAAGCTTCCGAAAAATAAGTTAATACCTCAGTGGACTTGACCTGGCAAGAAACAAGATAATTTAGTTTTATTGCATATATATTTTCATGCGACATATTTACCTTTCCTAAACATTGCACTCCTATCGTGTTTGTGTATTGTGTTTGTTGTCCTAACGTTCTGACCCTGTGCCCCGACTGGGCATCTGCGAAAATAAACAGCCTCATACGTCATCGGATTCCTCCAGTAATAAATAAAGTAGTCTGATTCTGCCATCCACTGGTGTACATGTCGTACCACGCGGGCTCAGCGCCTCACAGTCGGAAAGGTTGCGAGTTCAACTATCGGTTGGGGGGGGGTTGACTCGGCTCATCATCTCTCCGGGGTAGATAAAACGGGTACCGCTTTGTGGGGGGGGGCAGCAAATAGTGATTGTCCCTAGGGACGCGCCCCCCCCACCCCCCCACGAACGGCCCAAGCGGAATTTCCGCCGCTGCCTCTGCAGGGCTGTGGACGTGACAAACCAACGCTCACGTGAGCGGCGACTTCTCCCTTGACAAGGAATTCAGGTGGGAGGCAGGGTTTACAGCAAGGTGGGGGGACCCGCATGCCCCCCACCCACCAACCCACCAACCCACCCACCCCCGCCACGCGACGCAACTGCAGCAGCGCCGGGGCGAGGACTGCGTGTTCGCGATGTCAAACGCCCGGCGGACGCGCCGAATCCCGGCCCGGCGTTTTTCACGGGCGTGCCACGGTGGCCTAGGAGATGTTGACTACCTCGCCTGGTGTGCAGGAGGTTCGTGGGTTCGATCCCGACCTCGACGCCTGCTGCATTGTTTGGAGTCTGCGTGTTCTCCCCGTGGTCGCGTGGATTTTTCTCCGGGTCCTCCGGTTTATCCCCTCCACATTCGAAAATTAACGTGCGCTTAAGCGAGTATTTGGCTGCTATACATTTCCACGTGATGATGATAAGCCCACTTCAATGAGCTGTAATTTGTGATAGCCAGGTCGCTTCAGAAAAGGAGCTACATAGCTCAGTGGGGCCTTACCTGGTAAAAATAAAAAAATAGTTTATAGTTTATATAAACTAATTATAATTAGTTTCTCACAAACCCCCGCCCCCCCCCCCCCGATCGCATCGCCAACGAGCAGCCGCCGGGCTTCATCGTGGCGTGCGGCGGAGATTTTATCACGGCGCCTGGCTCCACGCATGTACGGTACGTTCAACTTATTTTCCACCGGACGTAGCCAACCGTGCCAATCAGAGGTGACAGGGGCAAGGTGAAAAGTCGGATGTGAGGGGGTCGGTGTCAAATATCCAGGTGCCCTCTTCCCCCCCACAACTTTAGTTGCGCTCTCACGCGAGCAAGCGACGACTCGTGCGAACTGAAGATGCACGGTATGCACGTACGTTGAACTTCTTTTGCACAATACGTAGCCAACGGTGCTCACCCGAGGTGCCGGGGGAGCTGTTCGGGCTATCACGGCGACATCGTTACGGCCGCGGCGACGTCAGCGGGCCGCCCTCGGCGTGACCCCCCTCAAGCGAGGCCCCCACCCCCCCGCTCCGTGGGGCTCCACTTCCAGGGAGACGCCGTACACGGACGAGGAGGCAGAGGCAACTAAATTATTTTTTGACTTGACCAGGTAAGGCCCCACCACTGAAGCTACGGAGCTCCTTGTCAGAAGCGACCCTGGCTATGGCAAATGACAGCCCAACGAAGTGGGGGCTTCTCATCACGTGGAAATTCATAGCAGCAGCCAAATTCCTTAAACACGCGCGATGTCGATTCGAATGCGTGGAGGGAAAAACCGGAGGACCTGGAGAAAAATCCACGCGACCACGGGGAGACAGGGAGACACGTAAACTCCAAATATACCACAGCTGGCGTCAGGAACAAACCCAGGACCTCCTGTACAACAGGCAAGATAGGTAACATCTCCTAGCCACCGTGGCGCCCCCTAGGAGGGAACCCAGCGGGGCAACGCCGCTGTGAACGTCTCCGAGGAAGATCCGGGATGTCGCCCTGCCGAGATCCGTTCGGCCAATTCCAGCTCGAGTAAACCTCGTCCTCGCGTGAGGCCTCTTTGGGCCTCATGGGGCTCCCCGGCTACTCCTCGGCCACTCCCCCGTCCACTCCCCGGTCGCTGCAAGAGAGGCCCTTGCGGTGATCAGAAATGCGGGCGCTGCTTGTCGGGTCGAAAATGCTCCCCTACGGCAACCAGGTGAGCGTGGAAGCAAGCGCACGTAGCCAACCGTGCTGATCGGAGGTGCGGAGGGGGGAAGGACGAGAAACTGAACAAGCAGTTCTAAAGAAATGAGTTTGTCAATCTAGACGTGTTTAAAACCGCGCAGGTCCCAGTGGCTTCCTCATGTACGTACGTTGAACTTCTATTTGCACCTCGGCCAAAGAACTTCCGCGGCCGGTGCTCCTTGGTCACTCGCGGGCCGTTTTACTCGCAGTGGCAAATTCCACGAGGCCGCGGTGAAGGGGCGGGGTGGGGGCCGTCGGGGGGAAGGGGGGGGCCTTGTGCGGCGGCGAAGACGCCAGGGCCGGACGAGACGATTTGGGATCGTGTCACGAGGCGGGCAAAGGGCTCGCGGCCTCCCGCGAGCGCCGCGACGATGCACCTGCGCTGCGACCGTCACCTACTCGCAACGCGTGCGGGGAACGCAAGAGAGAGAGAGGGAGGGAGAGAGGGCGGCTGCGATAGAACCGAGCAGAAGGCGGTCGGAAGAGAGAGGACAGGGCACCTGCCGAGGGTCAGAGGCAAGAATCTCATGGCCGCCAGAGACAGAAGCGCGGAGGAGGCAGAGGAGAGAGATCCAGGCAGCATTGGGGGGGGGGGGGGGGGGGTCCCGCACTGTACACACACACCGGTACGTACGTACGGTACGACATACCGTACCTCCGCAGCGAGGTGAGCGCCTCGGTCTCCTCCAGGGTGTCTACGGACGAGCGCTGGGAGGCTAACCGCCGTCTGAACAACAGACTGACACGAGAGACAGCAACGGGCCTTTACAGAGAGCGCGAACAAGGCCACCAACTCCGGGTCACACTGCACGCACACACAGGTCAGCCGGCGCAGCTCGCTGGCCAGTGGCAGCCAAAGAGATTCTCATCATCATCATGATCATCATCCAATTCTTTAAACGGGATACCGGGATCGAGCTCTCGCGCTGCGAGAATTAAACACGTTCACTCGGTCGCAAGGAAGGTTTCCCGCAATTTGTATTTAAAAAAAAGAAATGGTTTTAAACTGATACACAAACAACAGTCACAGTGTCGTCCTCGGCACACTTTGTAAAGGTCCACGAAAGACGTCAACGTCTTCAAAAGGAACCCTTCGGAACGGCGGCACCGTACGCGTAGCTCTACGGCCCTTCTGTCCAGCCACTCCCAACGGCGTCTCTCCCCGCTTGGCCCGAGGAGGCTTGGCCCGAGGGGCAGACTCCCCGTGCGTGCGGAGTCCGCCCCTAGATTTATTAAGGACCGGAGATCCTGGCGATTGACACTACGCCCCCCCACGAGGTGCCGTACGGAAACAAAAGAGCGGTTCGCGTCACGTTTTGACATCCACTTGTAAATGACCGCGCCATCGGCGTCCGTCACGGGACGAAGATTCCACCGGGAGACTCCGGCGGAGCGGTGTGCGACCCTGCGTGAGAGAACGGCCGCCCCCTTCCGTCCCTGTAGAAGCGGATATCACAGAGCTACCTCAGAGATCCCGTACTCTTGCTCTCATTCTTCAAGTGACCTCTGAGTCCACACGCAGCACGGAGGAGCAACTTCCCACCCGCCTGGCCGTATGAGGGTAATGCTCCGTTGCACGACAATCAAACCGATATTTTAATTCTCAAGAGCTGGGATAAAGGCAAATTAGGCACAGAACCAGACATAATGTGATGGATTGTTTTTTTTAAGATTAACTAATTACAGTCGTAACAATTTTTATTTTACCAGGTAAGGCCCACTGAGCTCTACAGCTCTTTTTCAGAAGCGACCAGGACATCACAAATGATAGCTCAACGAAGTGGCTTATCATCATCACGTGTCAATTTATAGCAGACCAAATACTCTATAAACGCGTAACACTGATTTTTTTTATGTGGAAGGAAAAACCGGAGGACCCGGAGAGAGAGAGAGAGACGCAAACTGCAAATATACAACAGCAGGCATCGAACCCACGACCTGCTCCATAGCAGGCGAGGGAGTTAACATCCCGGACTGCGTGAGGTTGGTGATTCTTGTTTGGGGAGTGCGGTATAACCTCGTTATTCACGCACTTGGCTATCGGCGATTCTGGATATCCGGGAATCTCATCTGGAACGCCATACTACTGCATCGAGACAGACAGAGAGAGAGAGAAAGCGATGAGAGAGAAAGTGATGAGAGATAAAGTGACGAGAGAGAAAGTGACGAGAAATAAAGTGGTGGGAGATAAAGTGATGAGAGATAAAGTGATGAGAGATAAAGTGATGAGAGATAAAGTGATGAGAGATAAAGTGATGAGAGATAAAGTGATGAGAGATATAGTGATGAGAGATAAAGTGATGAGAGATAAAGTGATGAGAGATATAGTGATGAGAGATAAAGTGATGAGAGATAAAGTGATGAGAGATAAAGTGATGAGAGATATAGTGATGAGAAATAAAGTGGTGGGAGATAAAGTGATGAGAGATAAAGTGATGAGAGATAAAGTGATGAGAGATAAAGTGATGAGAGATAAAGTGATGAGAGATAAAGTGATGAGAGATATAGTGATGAGAGATAAAGTGATGAGAGATAAAGTGATGAGAGATAAAGTGATGAGAGATAAAGTGACGAGAGATAAAGTGACGAGAGATAAAGTGATGAGAGATAAAGTGACGAGAGATAAAGCGATGAGAGAGAAAGCGATGAGAGAGAAAGCGATGAGAGATAAAGTGGTGAGAGATAAAGTGATAAGAGATAAAGTGATGAGAGATAAAGTGACGAGAGATAAAGTGATGAGAGATAAAGTGATGAGGGATAAAGTGATGAGAAATAAAGTGGTGAGAGATAAAGTGATGAGAGATAAAGTGATGAGAGATAAAGTGGTGAGAGATAAAGTGATGAGAAATAAAGTGGTGAGAGATAAAGTGATGAGAGATAAAGTGATGAGAGATAAAGTGGTGAGAGATAAAGTGATGAGAGATAAAGTGATGAGAGATAAAGTGACGAGAGATAAAGTGGTTAGAGATAAAGTGATGAGAGAAAAAGTGACGAGAGATAAAGCGACGAGAGATAAAGTGACGAGAGATAAAGTGATGAGAGATAAAGTGGTTAGAGATAAAGCGACGAGAGATAAAGTGGTGAGATAAAGCGATGAGAGAGATACGTAATTTTATCGGATGTAATAGCTTATTTACGTATTTATTTCAGGTGACTGATTACCAAGGTAGGTTTCTGCAGGCCAATATCAACACGGCCTCCACCGGGACCGCCGCCGCTGCCGCCCCCTGTAAGGCGACAAGGTGAGACGGCGGGGGTGGCCGTGAGTACCTGCTGCACAAGCCCCCTACGCCCCCCCCCCCACCCCCCACACCGTCCCCCGCATTCCTCCACGCCGGGCGCAAGCGTCACGGTGCGCAGTGCGAGTCCGAACGCGCAGCCGCCAACGCGTCTCCCCGCACGGCCACCCCGGAGGGCCCTCGCGTGCCGGGCAGCGCCCCGACCTCGCCACGACGACCATCACCGTCGCCCCTCCCCCTTACCTCAACCCCCCCCCCCCCCCAATCTTCCTCACCACCCCCGGTTGGGTACCACCTTGGGTGGCAGACGCTGCGGGTGTCCGCCATGGGTAGTCTCTCTCTCTCTGGAGCGTACGGGAGTAATGTGCACATCGCACGTCCAAGTTGAAGTTTGCGAGCCAAGCGATGACAGCTTCATCTACGCTGTACACCGTGGGCAGTGTTCAGCGTGGGGAGGAAGGCCTAGCGTACACAACCCATCCGATGGATGGGCAATCGCAATCACGGTGGCTAGGAGATGTTAACTAGCTCGCCTGGTATACAGGATGTTGGGGATTTCATCCCGACCCTGACGCCTGCTGTATATTTGGAATTTGCATGTCTCTTTCTCATCATCATCACGGTGTCTAGGAGATGTTAATGACCTCGCCTGGTATACAGGATGTCGGGGATTTCATCCCAACCCTAACACCTGCCCTGCTGTATATTCTGAGTTTGCGTGTCTCTTTCTCATCATCATCATGGTGGCTAGGAGATGTTAACTACCTCGCTTGGTATACAGGAAGTCGGGGATTTCATCCCAACCCTAACACCTGCTGCTGTATATTCTGAGTTGACGTGTCTCTCTCTCTCCCCGTGGTCACGTAGATTGCTTTTCTTCGGGTCCTCTGGTTTTTCCCTCCACATTTAAAACATGCTTGAGATTATTCAGATTATTTTGCTGCGATAAATGTCCAAATGATGGGGCCACTTTGTTGCGCGAACATTTGTGATAGCCAGGTCGCGTCTGAATAATAAGTTACTCCATCACTGGGCTTTGCCTGGTAGGATGGAGATCGTTTATTGTTGTATTTGTTTGTGTTAGTGCGATTTGTTGACCTTTCTTCTGCCTTGCACTATCGTGTTGTTGTACTGTTTGTTGCTGTAACGTGCCGACCCCGTGCCCTAACTGGACATCTGCAAAAAAGAGCTTCACAGCTCATCGGATTCCTCAACTATAAATAAATATTCTGATTCTAATACGCTTGAGACACGTTCCACGGCACATTTGTCGTCCTGCCCCCCCCCCCACTGAAAATAACATCGTGGCGGCAACCAATCCCGACAGCAGCTACCAACGTGACCCCCTGCTGCCCAGGCATGTTTGTGATCTGGAGATGAAATGCTTCAGGAAACAAAGAAAAACTAAAATTGTTGAACACGTCGTAGTGGTGGGGCTTTCACGAGCAGTATTACGCTTAAGCGTTTTTTGGGTTAGCTTGCGTACATATGAATGTGCCGTTAAACCCGTCACCACCCCGTCTCCGATTGGCTCACAGATGATGACATCACATTTAGCCCGTGTCCATTTAAGACCGAAGCAGCAGGAGGAGGATTTCTCCGCAACTCTGTGGCTGTCCGCCCGATGATGCTGGTTGATGTTGTTGTTACCGGCGAAACGTCACGCTACTGGGATTGTAAATGTTGTAGTTGCTCTCCAACACACAACTGGTTAGCGTGGAACTAGTAACTAATTGGCACGTTTTGTTTACGTGACAAACCCCTGCTAATTGGCTGCGTCGGGTGGCGGGTTTCAACGACACATTCATATGGACCTCGATCTAACCTAGGACTCCTCTAGTGGGTTACCAATGAGCAACTCTGGGGAGGGGGAGGGCAGTGGTTCAAGGGCCGACGAAGGATGCGAGCGACCTTCGCCAAGGTCGCGCGCCACAGCGGAGCATCGCCTCGACAGACGGCCAACGTGAAAACTCACCATAATGATAACAGCACGCGCGGCAGTCGCTCACTCCTCCTCGCAGGGAGAGAGACGGTGGGGACGACCGGCGCCGACAATTTGTCCCAAGCGCTTGCGCCCCTCTGCGCATTGAAAGTGCCGTCGCCCGATTAACGCCGAGTGTTTGTGCACGCGGGAGGAAACTGGGAGCGCGTGGAGAAAACCCGCCCCGCGCGTGCGAGGGGGAAACGCTCAATCCCCCGACACAGACCGAACCAAATTGGGCCGTCATTTTTTCCTGAACTGCCTTCTCCTAGCGAGCTCGGGGGGGGGGGGGTTTGTTACACGGCGTGCGCGGCCGTCGCCACCACCGCCACCGCCGTGGCAATCTGTACGTGGACGAGCGAGCGTCCGTCTGGGGGGCCCACAGGGGCTGCTTTCTTTGCCATGCGCGAGCTCAAATCAGACCACGGAGGGGTCAATTACAACCACAGTTGTGTCGATCGTAACGTACGTACGTACGTGTGTGTACGTTGAACTTCTTTCGCACCGTACATAGCCAACCGTGCCAATCGGAGGTACGGGGGAAAGAACAACAAACTAAACACTCAAAGCAGTTCTCAAGAAATGAGTTTGTCAATCTCTAGAGGATTATTTAATAAATCGCGGTCTAATTGCAATTTCAGCTCCCGAAGCTCGTGGTCACTGCACATCGTGCTCTTTCAGATGCGCTGCTTCTGCGGCCGTCTGGAACGCTCCTCCTTCCGATATTAGGAAGCCGCTGGAGCTACACACTTTTAAATAATCGTCTAGATTGAACAAGAAAACATTCCTTCCAACTGCTTTTTGTGTTTAGTGTTGATGTCCTTTCCCTGCCCCACCTCCGATTAGCACGGTTGGCTACGTACGGTGCGAGGGAAGTTCAACGTACATACGTACAAACGTGCGTGCTGTTGACGCAAACACACCGCGTCTCCCTCCTACCCTGCCCAGCCTCTTCCACGGCACCCTCTCGCTCTCTCTCTCTGACATCTCCTTGCTCTCCTCTACCACTATAGGCTCTCACTTCGTCCGCTTAATGTCAATCTCCTCCCCTATCTTCTCAGCTCTCTCATCTTATCTCTGGCTGTGCAGACCCTCTCCGCTCTGTTTCTCCACCGTCTCCACACTCTCTCTTTCTTCCCTCTCCTGGCTGCTTCTCCTTCTGGGGTTTCCTGTCTCTCTCCCCTCCAGCGTTTCCCCTTTCCACCTCCTGTCCCTCCCGTCCTTCCTCTCACCAGCTCCATCCTCCCGTCTCTCACTCTGACCTTCCTTATCCTCCCCTTTTCATGTTGAACGTTGAACCGTCCTTGCTCTGTCCCGCGCGTGCCCCCCCCCCCCAGCTCCGCCCCGTCTGTGTTCCCCCCCTCTGGCTCTGTTGGTCACCTCCGGCGGGCACGGCTGGCTACGTGCGGTGCGAAAGAAGTTCAACATACATGCGTATGTACACACACACGCGCGCCCTTCTCAGGGGCCGTGCCACCGGCACCACACAACCACGACAGGCACCAACAAGCGCACTGCTCCCTGGTCACTGCCGCCTGCATCACCCGTCCCTCCCTCCCTCCCGCCCCAGGCCACTCACGTGAAGGCCGCCCCACATGTTTTGCTAAGCCATGGCAACCGCACTCAGCTCTGAAACACAGCGGCCTCCGTTCACGCCGCCGCCGCCACCGCCACCACGGCTTGGCCAGTGGGGTGCGATCGCCTTCCAAATGCGCTTAGCGCGTAGCAGCGTGGGGGGCAGGGAGGCGGGGGTCAACATTGCGTGCAAACAGGGCCCCCCCCCCACCTCCACCACCACTCCGGCACCCGGCCACGCATAACCGCAAAAGGAGAACATGGCCTGGAGTTGCCACCGGCTCTCGCTCGCTGGCTGGCTCACAACCAGCACCGGTGCAATGCTCCGTTTGTGTTTTGTCGCTAGCGCAAGGTCGCTCTCTTGCAAGCGACACTCCCACCTATCCTGCTCCCCACCCCCCCCCCCCCCCCCCCCTCCAAGTTCTCGCCCGATTAAACAAAAAATCGAGTTAAGAGCACGACGGATTCTTTCCACGCGGTCACCGGTCAACCGGCCTGAGACCTTCAACCGGCCAGAGACCATCGACCGGCCTGAGACCATCGACCGGCCTGAGACCACCGACCGGCCTGAGACCATTGACCGGCCTGAGACCTTCAACCGGCCTGAGGCCATCGACCGGCCTGAGACCTTCAACCGGCCTGAGACCATCGACCGGCCTGAGACCATCGACCGGCCTGAGGCCATCGACCGGCCTGAGACCATCGACCGGCCTGAGACCTTCAACCGGCCTGAGACCAACAACCGGCCTGAGACCAACGACCGGCCTGAGACCATCGACCGGCCTGAGACCATAAACCGGCCTGAGACCAACGACCGGCCTGAGACCAACGACCGGCCTGAGACCATCGACCGGCCTGAGGCCATCGACCGGCCTGAGACCATCGACCGGCCTGAGACCATCAACTTGCCGCACCCCCGAGGACTCCGTTGACATCACGGCCGGACGGCTCAAACCCCCCTGGGATTCGAAGCCAGGATGTGTCACCGGCGCCGGCTCGAGCTTCTGGGACCTCGGAGGCGATTCCTTGATTCGATGTTGTTCAATAACACGCTTCTCAAATCCCACGTCCCGCGCGTCAACGCCCGCAAGGATAAATCGCGGAACGTGGGCGTGCCCGTTTACAATTTGACACGCTATTAACTATTACTACTGTAATACTACTTTTTTATTTTTACCAGGTAAGGCCCCACTGAGCTACTGTACATAGCTCTTTTTTCAGAAGCTATCGCCATTGATTGCTCACCGAAGTGGGCTTATCATCTTCGGCATCATCGTAGCGTGGAAATCTAGAGCAGCGGCCAAATGCTCCAAAACGCGTGACGTTGATTCTAAATGTGGGAGGTGGGGGGAGGGAAAAATCTGGAGGAAAATCCACGCGACCACAGGGAGAGAGAGACACGCAAACTCAAAATATACAGCGGGCGAGCAGGATCGAACCCACGACCTCCTGTATACCAGGCGAGCGAGTTCACATCTCCCAGCCACCAAGGCGCCCCCATTATTAGGCGCGCACGTGAGGTTGTATTCCGCACACGGCGGCGTTTGGAATTATCACGGACTTTGTGTCCCCCCCATCCATACACCGCAGGCACGCAGTTGAGTGATAATGGTATCTATCATATTGTACACCGCATGGGGGGAGGCTGCCGTGGCACGATGGGTGTTCAGCACACTAGGACCTTGCAGGCCAGAGAGGGAAGTATTCATCCTTTCAGTTGCAAATCTCCAATGTCATCACCGAAACGAAAACTCTGAGCGATCACCCGCTCGAGCGAGCATTTGGGGCACCGGTGCGCACACCTTTCCGTTCACAGCTCTGAACCAGTGGTGGATATTCCTGATTCATATGGCGGCAGTGGGGGGGGGTGGCGAGTCTTCCCCACACACAATGTGGTCAGAACTTTATCGACCACACCACTCCCGCGCAGGGATGATGGACTGAGTTACTCCGCACAAACGATGCATCTTCAACTCATAGGCAGCCTTCATTCGCCCAGCAAGCTGTAGGTCCACTGATGGGGAGCTACCCAAGGTAGACCCAGAGGCAAAACGTGAAATCTGTCGTTTTAAAATGTGGGCCATGATGATGATGATGACGCACAATGGCCTAATTACACCGTGCACCAGCGTGTACACACACCTGCACGTGCGCACACCTGTGTGTGCGTGTACACCGTGTGTGTGCGTGTACACCGTGTGTGTGTGTGTGTGTACACCGTGTGTGTGTGCGTACACCTGTGTGTGTGCGTACACCTGTGTGTGTGTACGTACACCTGTGTGTGTGTACGTACACCTGTGTGTGTACGTACACCGTGTGTGTACGTACACCGTGTGTGTATGTACACCGTGTGTGTGTACACCTGTGTACGTGTGCGTACACTTGTGTGTGTGTACACCTGTGTGTGTGTACACCTGTGTGTGTGTGTACACCTGTGTGTGTGTACACCGTGTGTGTGTGTGTGTGTACACCGTGTGTGTACCGCGTGTCTGTGTGTGTACACCGTGTGTGTACACAGTGTGTGTACACCGTGTGTGTACACCTGTGTACGTGTGTGTGTACACCTGTGTGTGTGTGTACACTGTGTGTGTGTGTATATATACACTGTGTGTGTGTGTGTACACCGTGTGTGTGTGTTCACCGTGTGTGTGTGTTCACCGTGTGTGTGTGTGTGTTCACCGTGTGTGTGTGTGTGTACACCGTGTGTGTGTGTGTACACCGTGTGTGTACACCTGTGTGCGTGTGTGTACACCGTGTGTGCGTGTGTGTACACCGTGTGTGCGTGTGTGTACACCGTGTGTGCGTGTGTGTACACTGTGTGTGCGTGTGTGTACACCGTGTGTGCGTGTGTGTGCGTGCGCGTACACCGTGTGTGTGCGTGCGCGTACACCGTGTGTGCGTGCGCGTACACCTGTGTAGGTGTACACCTGTGTGGAGGTGGGTGTGTATACATCTGTGTGTGTGTACACCTGTGTGTGTACACCTGTGCGTGTGTGTGTACACTGCGTGCGTGTGTACACTGTGTGTGTGTGTACACTGTGTGGGTGTGCGCACCCCCACCTCTGCCTCTGCACGTCGCTCACCGCTCCCGGCGCCTCCACGCTCAGCGTGGGCCCCAGGGCCGCTCGGCCTCCCCCTCCCGCTCCCTGCGGGCCCGAGAGGGCCCCCCCGGGGCCCCCAGAGGGCGCCGCTCCCGCCGAGCTCGGCCGCGAACGCAGCGGCGTCGCCGCGAGCAGAGCGCCCGGCTCGGCCCCGAGGCCGCTCGCCACGCTGCTGTTGGCCGGGAGGGTGGCCTCGTAACCGGCGGGGACCGCGGCCGCCGCCGGCGCGACCTCGGGCCCCGTGCACGGGGGGCCCGCGGCCGCGGCGGCGGCGGCCTCCCGGCCGGCTCCGCCACCGCCTCCGCCGCCTCCGCTCTCCCCCCCACCGCCGCCGCCGACGACCGCCGCGGTCCCGGCGACAACCGCAGCCGCCGCCGCCGCAGCGGCAGCCGCCGCGGCCGCGGGTTTCCCGTCGAGGGAGATGTTGGTGAGGAAGGCGATGGCCGCCTGCCGACGCCGGTCGGCGACGCGCAGAGGCCTCCTCGTGGCGTCGCCCGCGCCGCGCCTGCCCGGGCCCGCGCCGCCGAGAGCCGCAGCCATCGCGGCGCGCCGCGCCATCCCCGAGCAGGTGGCGATACACTCCACATTCCCTAGTTCACATAGGCGCGGCGCGCGGGGTGGCTCCGCATTCCCCAGTTCACATAGGCGCGGCGCGCGGGGTGGCTCCACATTCCCCAGTTCACATAGGCGCGGCGCGCGGGGTGGCTCCACATTCCCCAGTTCACATAGGCGCGGCGCGCGGGGTGGCTCCACATTCCCCAGTTCAGATAGGCGCGGCCACAGGATGGCGCCACATTCCCCAGTTCACATAGGCGCGGCGCGCGGGGTGGCTCAACATTCCCCAGTTCACATAGGCGCGGCGCGCGGGGTGGCTCCACATTCCCCAGTTCACATAGGCGCGGCGCGCGGGGTGGCTCAACATTCCCCAGTTTCATATTCTTGGTTCTTTCGGTAAAGTCACGTAGAAGGGAAACAATAAAATAATACAAATATAAAACATTAAATGTTTTATATTTTTGTTATTTTTTATTATTTTATTGTTTCCCTTCTACGTGACTTTATATTTTTATTATTTTATTGTTTCCCTTCTACGTGACTTTACCGAAAGAACCAAGAATATGAATCCCTGCAGTCACGAAAGCTTTAAATTAAAATTCCCCAGTTCATATAGGCGCGGCTCATGGGGTGGCTCCACATTCCCCAGTTCACATAGGCGCGGCGCGCGGGGTGGCTCCACATTCGCCAGTTTACATAGGCGCGGCGCGCGGGGTGGCTCCACATTCCCGAGTTCACTTCGGCGGGTGGCTCCACATTCCCCAGTTCACATAAGCCACGGATGGATTGGGGGTGAAACAATAAAATTCTCAAGACGTTTCGATTGCGCAACACAAGCAGTCATCATCAGTGCGCTTAAGCGATGGTGGGGGGATTTGGCTGCTCGGTTTAGTGCGCTGAAGTGCGGCATGGGAAGGACGTTAGTTTGTCTAGTTCACATAAGGGGTGGGGAGCTTGGCTAGGTGATTGTATTTCATGGTGCGGATAGGCACGCGACGCGCTGGTTAGATTGTATAGTGCAGATAGCCCCGTGGTTCTTGCCCGGGGTGGGTGGCAATGTCCCAGCTGAGCTACTTGACAGCTCTTTCTTCAATAGCGACTTGGCCATCACAATGATGGCTCAACCAAGCGACCTTATCATCATCACCATCATCGTGTGGCCGTTTATAGCAGCGAGACACTCTGAACGCGTGGTGATGTCCATTCTCAATGTGGAACGGAAAAAACGGGAGGCCCCTTGATAAAAATCCACGCGACCACGGGGAGAGAGACACGCAAACTCCAAACATACAGCAGCAGGCGTTGTCAGAGTCACGATCGAACCCACGACCTCCTGTACACCAGGCGAGGTAGTTGACATCTCATAGCCACCGTGATGATGATGATGAGAGAGAGAGACACGCAAACTCCACACATACAGCAGCAGCAGGCATTGTCAGAGTCACGATCGAACCCACGGCCTCCTGTACACCAGGCGAGGTAGTTGACATCTCATAGCCACCGTGATGATGATGATGAGAGAGAGACACGCAAACTCCAAACATACAGCAGCAGCAGCAGGCGTTGTCAGAGTCACGATCGAACCCACGACCTCCTGTACACCAGGCGAGGTAGTTGACATCTCATAGCCACCGTGATGATGATGAGAGAGAGAGACACGCAAACTCCAAACATACAGCAGCAGCAGCAGGCATTGTCAGAGTCACGATCGAACCCACGACCTCCTGTACACCAGGCGAGGTAGTTGACATCTCATAGCCACCGTGGTGATGATGATGATGAGAGAGAGACACGCAAACTCCAAATACACAGTAGGCGTCAGGGTCGGAATCGAACTCACGACCTCCTGTACACCAGGCGAGGTAGTCAACATCTCCTAGCCAGCGAGCTGCCTCTGGGATCGTTTCAAATGACCTGCGATCGACCACAGCAAGGGGGCAGCATTTCCCCGCGTCAGGAAAAAGCTAAAGCACTTTTTTAATTCAAAAACTAAAACTTTTTTTTTATATTCTTTGGGTCTTTCGGTAAAGTCACGTAGGTAGGTTCAAAGAAAATAAAAAAGATAACAAATGATGGCTCTTTGAAGCTATCTACTTTATCGAAAGCCCCAAAGAATATTAATCCCTGCAGTCACGAAAGCTTTAAGTTAAAACTTTTTGTTTATATATTTGAGCAGGCAAGGCCCCACTGAGCTACGCAACTCTTTTTCAAGAGCGACCTGGCCATCACAAACGACGGCTCAACGAAGTGGTGGCGTCGATTCTACACGTGGAGGGACACACCGGAGGACCTGGAGAAAAATCCACTCGACCACACACAGAGGGACACCGCAAACTCCAAATATAAAGTAGTCCCTCGGTTAACGTTTTACAACCCATTCCACGAGAACTGCTGTTAACCGAAGTAACCGTTAATCGGAGACATAGGAATTACATGTTAAACGCATGAATCCGTAATGTCAAAGCCAAGTCTCAACGGTCGTGAACGGGCGCCGCTGATTGGCTGTGAGGGCGTGGCTCACAGCCCCACACTTAACGAGCGCTCGGATTGGCCGGAATTGGCGCCGCCGCGTGCACAACGTTGACGCGTCATAGTCGGTCAACATTTTTAAGTTTATCGAAACCATTGGGGGTCCTTTACGTGAACCGATGTCACCGTTAAGCGATGGGGGACTACTGCACTACGCCACTGCCTTGGCCTCTTGCGATCCCACATCCACCGGCTACGATCGTGGGGAAAATATTTGATTCTTCCCCAGACGAGCGGCGGACAAATGCGCATCCCGGCAGGCGCGTCGCAGAGCCAGGGGATACACAGCGGCCTTCCTCGCCGCCGCCGCGTCTCCCGCGCACGGTGATCGCGGTGCGAGTCCGACTCCGGTCATTCGCTCAGGCAATTTCCGTCGTCGGCGAATTGTGAGGGCGTTAACACCGTCTGCCACTACAAGGTGGCCGTCCGTTGTGGCGGACGCTGTATGCTCACACTGGAATATGCCCTAAACCCTCCAAAACCGACGACGGCCTTGCCCAGACATGGGCAAAGTACGGCCCCCGGGCCGTATAAGGCCCGTTGGGCTTTTTAATCCGGTCCGCCGAACTTGTCCAAATATTATTATTAAATTAAATTTTACCTTTCTCCTGTAATGCCCCCATGTCCCCATTAGATGGCGGACTTTGACCATCCATCTGTTCCTGGCCCGGCGCCTCCGGCAAATTTTAGAACCCATTGTGGCCCGCGAGTCAAAAAACTTGCCCACCCCTGGCCTTGCCTTTCGATGGCGCAAACCCTGGTTATCCTCGCTAGCCTCGTCAGGCAGGACAAACCATCATCGCGTGAACTCCGGTCATCATCTTCGCAGCAGCGGCGGCTTTTGGCTGCGAGCCGTCGGAACAAAGACAGCGGTCACCTTGTCATCGCAGGGCATTTTCAGATGCGCTTCTGCGGCCGTCTGGAAGGCTCTTCCGATATTAGGAAACCACTGGAGCAATGCACTTTTATATATTGATTGAAAACTATTTTTTTTAGAACCGCTTTTTTGTCTTTAGTTTGTTGTCCTTCCACCCCCGCACCTCCGACTAGCATGGTTGGCTACGTACCTTGGGCGAAAAAAGTTCAGCATCCAGTTGCAACCAGGTAACTGACCCCGAGCAGTAAAGTGCCCAGGGTTCACTCAACCTTCCTCGGAAAACTTTGGACAACCCTTGACCGCTTGAGGACAGGGCCCAGGAAGAAGACGCGGCCACTCACTCCCCCACAAGTGGATCGTGAGGAGCAGGCCAAATTGCGACCATGGCCACCACTCAAAGTCAGACGATCACCCCATGTGACCACCCCATGTGACCACCCCACGTGACCACCGAACTCCTCTGCCCCTGAGAGAATCCATTCCCTGGTGGCATCGCGGCCACTCCACTCTGCTTCACCTGAAACCCTCGACATCAAGCGACCTCCAAACTTCTTTCGCTAGCCACATGTTGAACTTCTTTCGCTAGCCACATGTTGAACTTTCGCTAGCCACATGTTGAACTTTCGCTAGCCACATGTTGAACTTTCGCTAGCCACATGTTTAACTTTCGCTAGCCACATGTTGAACTTCTTTCACTAGCCACATGTCGAACTTCTTTCGCTAGCCACATGTTGAACTTCTTTCACTAGCCACATGTTGAACTTCTTTCGCTAGCCACATGTTGAACTTATTTCGCTAGCCACATGTTGAACTTCTTTCACTAGCCACATGTTGAACTTCCTTCGCTAGCCACATGTTGAACTTCCTTCGCTAGCCACATGTTGAACTTCTTTCGCTAGCCACATGTTGAACTTCTTTCGCTAGCCACATGTTGAACTTCTTTCGCTAGCCACATGTTTAACTTCTTTCACTAGCTACATGTTGAACGTGTTTTGCTAGCCACATGTTGAACTTCTTTCGCTTGCCACATGTTGAACTTCTTTCGCTAGCCACATGTTGAGCTTCTTTCGCTAGCCACATGTTGAACTTCTTTTGCTAGCCACATGTTGAACTTCTTTCGCTAGCTACATGTTGAACTTCTTTCGCTAGCCTCATGTTGAACTTCTTTCGCTAGCCTCATGTTGAACTTCTTTCGCTAGCCACATGTTGAACTTCTTTCGCTAGCCACATGTTGAACTTCTTTCGCTAGCCACATGTGAACTTCTTTCGCTAGCCACATGTTGAACTTCTTTCGCTAGCCACATGTTGAACTTCTTTCGCTAGCCTCATGTTGAACGTCTTTCGCTAGCCACATGTTGAACTTCTTTCGCTAGCCACATGTTGAACTTCTTTCGCTTGCCACATGTTGAGCTTCTTTCGCTAGCCACATGTTGAACTTCTTTTGCTAGCCACATGTTGAACTTCTTTTGCTAGCTACATGTTGAACTTCTTTCGCTAGCCACATGTTGAACTTCTTTTGCTAGCCACATGTTGAACTTCTTTCGCTAGCTACATGTTGAACTTCTTTCGCTAGCCACATGTTGAACTTCTTTCGCTAGCCACATGTTGAACTTCTTTCGCTAGCCACATGTTTAACTTCTTTC